CTATGAACATGAAACCAACAGCTGGAAGCTTTTGGCTTCCGAGGACCACTTTTCCACCTCCCCGTATCGGAAAATGGACACTGGTGTCTTCCTGGAGTCATGGAGGACGCAAGCCCCGTAGCACAAACAGGACGGGCTGGCAGCAGGCCGATTTTGTGAAACTCCAATTTTTTTCAGCGCAAGGCAGATGTCAATCGTCATGCCTGCTGCGCGCTGTAGAGAAACTCGTTGATTTGCAGTCGCTCGATGAGCCTCAAATGGACGCCGGCCAATCTTGCAAGGGCCACTGGCCTAGTCCGAAAGCATGTGCTCAATGTATGGATCCGTAGGGCGTGGCTTGCATACTTCAAGAAAACAACAAAACAGCAGGACGCACACTTGGCCAACCGTTTCTTTCTTGTTTGTCCTTCTGTTTGTTTGTTTGGGGCGGGAGAGGCCGGCTAGTTTCGGTATGGTCAAGCTGTGCCATACATACTATATATATATACATATATATATATATATGTCTATACATTATATGTATAGTTAGACGATGCATTTCAAGGGAGAATTGGATTGAGGGAGACCTTCCAGTGAAACTGTCTGGCAAAGGATGTGGCAAGCTTGGCACACAACTATGAAAAACACGATCTCCCGAATAAACGGTGTGCTTCTTTTGCGTACCTCATTTCCAGCTTGCTTATATTGGCAGTGTGTGTGTGTGTGTCGACGCGGCAGGATTGCATTCCGCTCACGGGGCTCTAAGCTTTTCAAATTCAGCTTTGGGGAGCTATCACACGGACTGGCCGTTGCCGTTCAGTGCGGTTCTCACTTGGGTGGTTTCATCATCACATTTGGCCAAATCCCAAGTGAGTCACAATCAAAACCGATCGGTATCAAAATGGTCGTAATCCCAGAATCATGTTTCAAGAATTAAGAAGGCGACACCTATTGGGGCTTTCCCTGACCAACCTTTACTTCCCCGGGTTTTGATTCTGACTCAAGTTTCCTTTTCATGCGTGGTCCGGAAAGAAGACGAGTCACAGAACCTTTAGGTTTTGGGGAATTGCCCAGAAAGCCCCTGGCTTGTGGCTCAGTCCGCAAATGGGGGGGAACCACTTCAAAATGGGACAAGTTAGAACGGAATATATCTAACTTCCCTAGAAATTTGGCCAAACAAAGTCTAAACCTTTTTGATTCCCACCAGAATGGTCTTCCCAACAAGCATAAAGTCCATCTTGGCGGGAAGGGAGCGAGGTATTCAACTGGGGGAAGTGCTTACATGTTGACCTGTGGGAAGTGGAAGGGAAGTATATTTTCCTTAAACTCCGGGAGTCAGATATTGAACGCCCATCCTCTGATTCTGTGCAGTCCAAGGGCTTGGATTCGGATTCGATGAGGATGGGCTTCGTGCGGCCAGTCTCATCCAGCATGTCCTGCTCATTGAATCGAAGAGAATATAAAACAAACACAATATGGGTGTGTCTTCTTTGAGGGTATCTGTGTCTGGTGGTTACCACTAGAAGGAAGCCACCAATTTAATTGGGGGGGGGTCCGCTAAAGACACACATTGCCATATATCAGCAAATATGCATCTTAATTCCACAAATGGATGTTGCTCAGAATGGGTCAACCCCGCCATCGCCCGGTGGTTTGCCTTGCTTCCCCTTCGAGAATCAGGCAAACTAGGCTTTAGAACATATTCAAATGACATCAACCCGACATCACCTTTGTTCACAACTCACAGATCTCAAACGTATTTACAGGAGCTCAATTGGGCCTTTGCTCTTTGCTCATATCCCAAAGCCAGCAGTTTCACCATGGCCATCAACGTGAACCTCGCTTCAACTCATCGCATCATGAATTTTGACCTGCTTCGAACCAAGGCACCTTTCAATGCTCAAGCAAAGCAAACAACGAGTCAAAATGAGTCAAGCGCCTTCTAAGATTCTTTGACTAGGGACCTATAACATTTGGCTGTGGCTCATTTTGAGATAGCTAGGGTTACCCAGGTTTTGGTCGTCCCATTTGCCCAGGTGGCATTTGGGTACAGCCATTTCTTCTTTGGCTTTCAAGGTCCTCACGCTTGATGTAGTCCAACTCGGCTTTCACCGCCGCCTGGCGATGACAAATGACAACTCTTCCACTGGCAAAGTTTTGCGCCGCGCACCAAACCTGAGGGGGATGGGCCAAAACACGTACCCAAACAAGGATCCGGATGCATGAAAAACACCTGAACATTGCAACTTGTAAATGGTGGTGTCCATTTCTGCATTTTGGTGTTGAAAAAGCCACATGTTTCAAATGGTTGCAAAATGGAGATTTTTTAAGGAGCCCTGCCAAACTTTCTGTTTACCACTGAAATGGTCCAAACCCAAAAAGTTGAAAGTCCAGGAACTCGGGAAGTGAGCTCCCCCTCATTCCCCGGAAGCAGACTTCATGATGTCTACATCCAGCAATGTCGGTGTGGAGCAGCCGACAGGTTTCGAACTCGTGGACAATGAGCTGCAGAAGCAGTCGAGATGTGGAGTCTTCCTCATGTTGGGGACCAACGCAAACTCAGCATGAAGGGGCGAATACTCGTTTGTGCCAGTAGTTGCCTTGATGTGGAGTCTTCCTCGTGTCCGGAAAATCAACGTAAACTCGCCAAGAGCCCCACACCACGGCTTCCCCGCCACTCCACAAAACATCAAAGGTCCAACTCTAGCCTGTCCCCGGTAGCAATCCCCCCTGTTTTGATGGTGCCGGTCTTGCAGGAATGGCAACACCTGAAATCCTAAGTGGTCAAGATAGAAATACTCCGAACTGCCTATTTCCCGCTGGGATGATCGTCTGAAGTCGTTGCTAGCGTGATAAGAATCCATCCTGGCCAGTTTGCAATCTTCAGCAACGTGGGCTAAGAGCTCTTGTTAGCTCCCCCTCTGAGCTCTTGTCCTTGAAAAACCAACCAACAACTGCTGCTCCCCCCCCCAAAAACCAAAACAAGAAGAAAGAAAGGCCTTAACCGCCCAAACAATCTCCGCAACAGCTCCCCAAAAGTTCGCCTGAACCGCCACCAAACCTCCGCAAACAACGAAGCCGGAAGCGGTCAAAACACATCGCACAAGTCTAAGCCTGAACCGCCCACAAAATCTCCCAAAAAGAGAAACACGCCTAAGCCAGAACCGCCAAAGACCAATTCCGCGATGCCTTTTTTGGTTCAAAACCTGGCCCCGGGGCCCTTCCGCCCCCTTCCGTCGCCTTCTCGGCTTCCACGTCGTTGTAGCGATCCTCCACTTCTACACCTCGAGGCGGCTTCGAGGTGCGGGTTGGACACCGGGGCGCAGTACCGCTGACCCTCGTCTTTCGAGGTTGGACACCCAAAATGGCGGTTTTTCCTGGTGGTTTCCTTGTAAAGCCACCAAGATGGCGGCTTTTCCTGGTGGTTTCCTGTCCCAGGATGAGGCCGCAAGCATGGAGTTCCCAAAACGGGTGGATTCAAGTGACCTCATATGGTTGTAAACGTAAATGTAACCCAATTAAACTAGGGAGTAGGGCTCCTTTCTATGATGCGTGGGGCTTTGGGCAATGCTCTTGACTCAAGTGGCGGAACTTGCGCCGGAGGCTGGGTCAAGCTTCCTTTTAAGGGATGGTCATGGGCCTCTCGATGGAAAACCAAAAGCCTCTCTCGCTCGATCATAGTGGCACGTTTAAAGATTGCCATAAATTGGGTGTGCCCAAAATCGGAGACCCACCACAAGTTCTAGATGGGTGCCTTTTGGTTTCTGGCTTCCTTTATGCCTTTAGTGAAACCAATTCGACGTTGGGAAATGCACTTTTCTATCTGTACCCTCCCCATTTTCGTCAGGGATCCTCTTCACCAACCCGCTGGCTTGGAAAACAAAGGTGGGAAGGAAGCTTTCACTGAGCCTCCGAGAAATACTGCTCTCTGGCAAGCCCCCTGGAGAAAAAGAAACAGGTGGTTTCTCACAAAGAGAATGATGGGTGACTGGGGCATCAAAATGGCCCTGGTAAATGGAGGAACCCCCACCTAAACCAGTGGAACCCATCTATTTTTAGTAAAAGAGAACCTAAACAGGACACCTATGGATTCTGGATGGGCATCAAACCTCCAGACCTTTCGACCCCCACGGCGGATTTCTCGCCCAGCGACGCTTCTGCAGGAGTTGGCCGTTCACGGCGGTGGCCTGGCCCGAGGGGTGGAAGGCGAGCCCTAGCCTCTGGCGGGGGTCACTGGAGCTTCCTCTTCAACAGTTCAACTGACCATTGAAACCGTCGCGTTCTGGAGGTTCTAAAAACAAAGAATAGAGGGAAACCCGGTCAAGATCCCGAACATTCAAGCGGTTTAGGTCAATGACACTGTTTACGCCGCCTCCAAGTGACACCCAAAAATGTCGCAAGTCAGTTCTCCATGAAACAAAACACCAGTTCAGATGTTCCCTCCCCAGTGGATTTCGGTGTCCTCTTGGCTTCCGTAACCGCCATGAGGGGACCCAACTCAAGCCCCAAAAAGCGTACCCACGAAACTGGCCTCATTTTTGATACCATGATCACGAACTGGCCTCATTACATGATTAGAGTTAGGCCCAGTTCGAGAATGTATATTGTATTGTTTGCTTCACTTTGAGTCACTGGTAAAATGTAAAATGTATCCTAAGTCTACCCCAGATCATATCAGAGTCACCCCCCATTGAGTGGTGGGTTGATCCCACTGTCTGGCTGGTATATGATTCCTCGCAGGCCTGGCGGAGCTCATCCTCCGTCCTCCTCAGGTCGTACCTGCGCCCGCGGAGAAGCGAGGTACGACCCCAGCCAGGTACGACCCCAGCCAAAGAACAATTGGGTATGCTTCTTTCGATTCGTTCGGCGGACACTCTTTAGGTGGACACAAGGGATACCCTTCCTCCAACTAACATAGAATGGAAATTTGAAGGGACCCCCCTCTCAGTTGCTATGTTAGTGGAAAGGAGGGTAAGGGGTTCCCTCGTGAAAATTCATGGCCAAATTGAGATTCCATTGAGATTCCATTGGCTATCCCTGCAAATTTAGCTTTTGTACTCAGATTCTGGGCCACCCTTTCAAACTGCAATGAAAATGGCCAATGGCCCGCACCAATGGCCCGCGCAACTTTGCTTAGCTTGCAGGCTCGGGGGTTTCGGAAGTTCCTTGGGCAGTTTGCAGTGAAGCTGCAGGAAGCTCCGCGATTCAGCTTGAACCACTTCAGCTGAAACAACACCAGCATCAAATGGCCATGGGTCAAAAGCCCGGTTACCCCCAGTGAACATTCCAATCCCACCAAAATAGGTTCTAAAATGGGTGGTGCACCTACCCCAAAATGGTACCATTGGTTTGACCCACGGCCAAATATCTTGAAGACAATCTCACTTGAAGGTTAAACATTTCGGGAGTATGACGTAAAAATATCCAGTTTGCAACATGGCGTTCGCCAGGCAACGAGATGGGGCAACCTCAGGCCATCTCAGTGAGGTGAGCCACCCCCGCAAAGGGGGCCCCTCTTTGTCATCCAGCTCTTCATACCATCAAACAAACGATGTGTTCTACCCTTGGCATGCAAAAACAACCCTAGTTACCAAGTTCCATGAGGGTGCTTCTAGAAAAGCGTCTACCTCTTTAGCGACTCAAATCCGGCTGGCTTTTCGAGACCGAAAAGGTGGTGGGTTGGAAGACATGGCTACCCATCCCAGGGTCCAAGTTGTGGTGACAAAACATCTAGGCACCTCAGGCATCAACAACCAAGCTCTGCAGAGCAAGACAGGTCGCCAACACTGAGCATATTTATCACTCATGCATTCAAAGTGAGGTGCACATGCTGCTTTGCAACAGGATCCTGAAGAAAGTCTCACGGACAATGAGACACATCATGACAAATCTAGCACACATAGCGCTGCCACATTACCAAAATAAGATACCATATAAATGTCGCAGATATCTCCCAGATCCAGCCTCAAGGCGCCCTTGTCCTCCTCGTTGCCATCAATGCGCCTGGTGTGTGTGTGTGTAGTGGTCTGGCGGCAAACATACAAGCCGTTTGCAAATCTCATCCAACCCGGCCAAGAAATTTCACAGGAACCGACCAACAAAAGCCGATGATTTGGTAGTACTGGAATGATCAGCTCACCAATGAGGTATAGGTACCCAATACTTCATGATAAGCCGAGATAAGCTATCCATGAACGGATTCAGGAACCATAAGCTATCCAATCAAGGCGAATGAGACATGATTCCAAAAGCCGATATCAGCTATCCAAAGGGACCTGCGGCGAGGATAAGCTCAGTTCAGCCCCAAGTGCGCCTGCCACAAAGGCAGATGCCTGCTTGGGGATTTCCAGGCGAACCAACTCAAAGCGAGACGTAAGCAAACTGCCCAAAGCATCTGATACTCCCGCGAATGGTAGCCCTTGGAATGCCCTGCGAATGATGAGCAGTGTGAACGGTGGTCCCCTCATGACATCCGCCAAAGGCATGTCAAAACTAAGGAGGGTGAACCCCAAATGGCAGTTTTCAGTTGAGGGTACACAGGCACACACCAACAAGCATCCAGGTGAAATGTGGTTCAATCTCAGGCCGGCGCGTGGCGAGGTAGTCGTTCTGCGTTTGAAGCGCTTCGGTCTTCTCTTTGAGCTCCAACAAGCGCTTCTCGACCTGGGAGCAAGGTTCAAAGCCTCCAGCACGACTGGGCTGTTCTCAGATCCCCCGCAGGTTTAACTTTTACTGGGTTCAAGGAAAATCCCCGCTAAACGCTGAAAAGCCAAAAACCAAAGGGGATGGCTGGGAACCACCGAGACGAAAGGGTTCACATCACGTGATGAACAAGTGAAGGTCTTCTTTATCCCTGGCTTATATGAGGCCAAATTTACTTAATCAAGGCTTGTGTCAGAAGGGTTTCCGGTTCCCTACATTTCCTCACTAAAGCGGGCTCTTTGTGGGTGAGCCCTGTTTTAGTTCGCCAGGCCCCCCCCCCCCCCCCGCCGCAAAAAAATAATAAGAAAAAAAATCAATAACTAAATAATATAAATAATATAAATAAAATAATACCCCACCCAACCCCCCCCCCCCCGCAAAGGAAAACCAAAACTGATGTTCGGGACTGGACCGTACCCTTTTTGGCCGGTTTCGGGGGGAGCAAAGACACCATGCTCCGAAACTAGGCTGAACTGATCCCCTGCTGAAGGTTCATAAAATGTGGGTTGAATGGACCCCCAACCACTAAACCAACTAGAACTCGGTGGCGAAATCTGCTAAGCCCTGCCAACAGTGACTAACTTTTAGTGGTTTAGTTTGGAAAACCCAAATTCGTTGGCAAAAAGTTAAAGTCCTAACAGCCCTTGGCAAAATGCACCAAAGAGAAACCACCAAAAACCTCCTGACGGCACCTGACGGCTGGTCAAACCACGCGACTTCCGGGACTTCAGGCCTTCTCTTGCGCCTTGAGCGCCAACTGCAGAGCTTCCTCCAGCATCTTGTTCTTCTTCTGCAGCAGCGCCTCTGGAGCGGATTTTTTTTTCTTCTTCCGCCACTATGGCGCCCGAAAAGAAGTTGGGGACAAAAGAAAAACCTGGGACCTGAAACGAAATCATGACCTAGACTCTCCATGACCCCCAGAAAAGGGGCAACACCCTTTGATTTTGGGTAATGACCCCATTTTTAAAGGGTCATGGAGACTGGCACACACCTTATTCCTCACCTGAGGCCTTAATGTTATTCTCCATGATCAGCATTCTCCAGTACAGGGCTTCCAGAGCAGATCCGCCTGCATCTGGGCGGCGTTCCTGGCTTCCGCTTCTGCGGAGAGCTTGGCATCCACCTCGTATCGACGGCTTGGGATGGGTGACTTGACCTAATCGATGGTTCTTTTTGTCTTGGTCTCAGCTTACCTTTGGATTGGCGGTTGAGTTGAGGGTAGGAACCCGTTTTTTGTTGTTGTTGCTTTCTTTGTCCTTCTCAACTCACTTTTGGACTGGCGGTGGGGGGTCGAGGGGAACCCCATGCATATCGATGGATCCATTTTTCTTTGGCTCAAACACTTACTTTTGGCTCTTTGGATCGGTTGAGCGTCGCGGGGAACCCCATGTAGCCCCAAGAACCAAGGTGTCAAATCAAATCCACCAATCCAAAAACGTCAATTGCCGGTTGCCTGACTATTTGCTCTGATCGGATGGACCGGGAAAAAGCAACTCAAGAAGGATGGGAAAGTGTTCAACAGCAAAATGGGCCCACAGCCCTCACAGGATTAGCTGAAGTGAACAACATAAATCCCATGCAACCCCTTACATACTGTCGATGGACGAAATCCTGCACCACTTTGCAACTTTGGGAAACCGCAGCAATTGTTGGTACTTACAGGTGTGCAGGGTTTCTTAGGTGGTGCAGGATTTGGTCCCTCCACAGCATCACAGAACAACTAATTACTATTGCAGCTCAGCAGCCTCCATCTGCAGCTGCTGTTGAAGATTCTGCGCGCAGCGTACATGCGACTCCATGCAAATTGAGTCGGGAAGGGTTAGAGGAACGCTTTGCACCATTTGCTCATGCTCCAAGTTACGCGCATGCAGTAGACTCCATGAAGTCTGCCCACTGCAGAAATGCAGGAGGCGTCCTGCGACTGCTTGTCCAGCGAACCGATCTTCTTCTGCCTCGGGTCCGATTGACAGGAGCAGCTGTCGCAACTTGCTGCTGATATCGTTGGACCCCACTGAAATCCGAAAACATGGCCGCGCCAACAACGCGACTGGTAAGCATGTGCATGTATTTCATGGCAACCTCGTGTTGGCACCAATCAGCTATCTCGACATTGGCTCATGCAGCGAATTGTGTGGTTGCTGGAGGAGTAGCTCCAACGAGCTGAGTCAGACCAATTCTGAAGGCACACACAAGATGCCTCGTTGCGCAACGCTGCGCATTCTCCTGGTGCCTTGTTGATCGATTCGAAACTCTCATCTGGTCCCCACAGCCCTGCCGTCATCTTCCGCATCTATCTTGCACCACATGGGGAGTCCCTGCTTGACACTTCGCCTGTGTGAATGTGCAAAGGGGACACTGTGCCCTTTTTGCGATGGTGTTTCAAGGATACTAACCAGAACCAAGCAAATCGAAAGGGTCCACACAGCGTTGTACGCTCCCGTGGTGGAATTCCAGTGACGACAAAATCAATCGTCCCCACAGAAAAAAATGCCCCAATGTAAAATCGATTGCTTTCTGCTCCCCTGCTAACAGTGACTAACTTTTAGTGGTTTAATTTGGAAAACCCATTGGTTGGCAAAAGTTCAAGTCCGAACATCCCTTGGCAGAAAATGGCCCCAAAGCAAACCCCATGTCCTGTTCGCCTTTGAGCTTGCGGCTTCTCCACGCCCGCCATCTCTGTCTTCTTGAGGTCGGTCTGTGTCGCTCCAGGCGCATGACACGTGAGAATGAGAACGTGTTGACGGTAGCATGCAAGGCTCCAGGACCAACCAAATGATCAGAGCGCTTGCTCAGATGAGCCAAGGTTCTTGCCACCAGTTCTGCCCAAAGAAATCCCATCTCTCAAAACGGAGAAAGAGCTCAAAGCGTGTGGTCACATCCACAGATTTCAAAAGGTCTGTTACCTTCTTCCCATCTAGGTTCTCCAGTAGAGAGGTTAGAATAAGGGTACCCTTTTTTGTTTCTTTCTTTTTTTCTGTAGTCTATTTTAGTAGGGGAACCCTCCCAACCAAAAAAAGGGGTGAGAAAGGGCACCTAGCTGGGGACAAGATGCCCCGGCCGCTGGGGACTTTTGGGAAATCCGAGCAGCCTGGTGTTGGCGAAGTTGATCCATCAGCGCATAGACCTTGTCACCCAGCTGCCTGTCAAGGCTAGAAGCCAGGGTGAAAAGAAGGCGATCTTTGCAACCCGTAGCAAATATCTTTGTTTTGCAGCCTCCTACCAAAATGACCCAAACATGAACAGAACTCCCCAAAAAAAGAAGAAACACTCGCCAACAACAGTGATTCTTATGGACAATGATATCATGTGCGGTAAGATTCTTCTGAGCATTCCCTACTTGTTTTCCCTCGAGGATTCGCAGCTTTTGGAACCACTGCAAGAGCCCACCTGAAGTTGTCTGCGCCAGCCTTGTTCTCTTCCTCAGGATGCAAGCAAGACAAACAACGGGCACCCGTTGCAGCGGCTAAAGCCCACTCCCTCCTCAATCGCTTCAGTCATGTCAGGCTACTCTTAAGCATCAACTCATGTTTATTGTTGAAAGTTGATCTCAAATGGGGGGTCCTAACATATACGTATGTTCTGAACCCATTTAGCGGTCCACTGAAGTTTACCTGTGATATGTTCTTGGTTGCTTGGAGAATGGAAAGTACGATAGCTCAGTGGGGCCTTTAGTGGGGCGGATCATCAAGGATGTTAACGAAGAAATGGAGATGTGGTGTGTGCGTGAACACAGCAAGGTAAATTTGAACCTTGCCATATTTGCTATCTCTGATCATTTCATTGCAAGCTTCGTGCACCTTGTGTGAAAACTTGCGATTCAAAGACATTGAAATGTTGCTTTTATGCTCTATTCTCTGATGACATGTTCGCCAAGCTTCCGCGGCGTGAACGGTTGTTTCCACGGACATGTTCTTGTTCAAACTGCTTCCACGGGCTTCCGCAGGCATATTTGTTTAACGTTTGCTTCCGAGGGTTCAACAGTTGATCTTGGGCTTCCGTTGCTACAATGATCGCTTTAACACAAAAGCCTTCCGCGAGGCAAACTCTTCCGCAAGCCTTCCGCAAACCTTCCGCGACAGCAGTCACGCTCAGTATGCAAGAATCGTGTCCACCCGCTTACTTGGTAAAAAAAACAAATACAAGAAGAAACAAACACGAAGCTCGATTGTTAGGAACCTCTGAACAGGCCATCATGCCTCTTGCTTGGACTTAGCTTGGACACGCTCCCATTGCGCCACTGATCACGCAGCCACAAGATTCATGTTCCTTCTGCCAAAATCCAAAAACAATAAGAATCTATCACAAACAGCCATCACCCAAGCAGTTGCATCCACATAGTTCATGTTTTTTCACTCGAGTTCACGTGTTGGCAGTTGTTAAAGACTCATGTTACAGATCTGTGAACTCGTGTTTCGGTACACGCATCAAGGGACCCTTTCGACAGGTTCCAGAGATCCCTCCCGTTTCGCTTCCCTCCCGTGCGTCCTGCATTCGCGTGTTCTGCTCCTCCGCACCCCGAAGGGACTGGCGCAGGGCGTCCACCATCTTCTCTAGGCCATCCTGCGACCGCCCGCCGCTCGCACAGTTAGCTAGGTCCTCCAGTTAGGTAGAATAAGGCTACCCACTTTTTTTTCTGTAGTCTATTTTAGCAGGGGAAACCTTCCCCAAAAAAAGTTGGTAAAAGGGCACTACTGGGGGACCTAGTTAGCCATAGAGACTGCTCCCCGCAGAGGTTGGAAGCTTCAAGAGGAAGCCATATACGGGCAAAAAGAGTGTTTTTCCCAAAGTTGGGTTGTCAGCAGCTTGGAAGTCATGATGCCCCTTGCAAAATCTTGGAAGTGCCTCTTGAAATGGCATAAGGATCGAGCTGCTAATGGCAGTGAAATTGGCAAGAAAGACGTGAGCTTTGATAACGAGAGCAATTGGCTTATGGGTTCATTGGCAATGGCTCCTTCGCATTCCCGAAACACGAGGAACATTGGGGTTCCGTCCCCAATTTTAGTTTCCTCAAACAAAACACGGAACACCAGAGACGTTGTCTGTTCCCAATGGGGGAAAACGTGCTGTCCCGGGCTTTCTTCAGAGGGCGATTCCCGAGTGTGTACATGGTGGTCGTAGCCGCTGGGACTTGTGTAGACTCATGGAATCTTTCATGCAGAGGTGGCCCTTCACGGGGTCTCTCGTGTGTAACGAACGCGGCACTGGAAGGTGAGGACATGTCTTCACCGCTCGATCTGCGAGCTCCTTTCTTCGCTCCACCTCCGCCTTGCTTTGCCTTAGTCGGCCATGGGGCCAACGGATTACTTGCCGCCATGGATGTCGATGCGAGAGGTCTGTCGTTAGGCCAAAACATAGCGACAAGCTCCTGGCATTCCTGAACCTAAACCAAATGAAGGCCAGCCTCCTCCCAGAGACATTCTTGTTTAATCCAAGGGTCGCTTGACAACAATGGGTGCGTCTCGCTCTAGGGCGCCTTTGTTCAAAAAGCTTCAATCGCTGTGGATGCCCAGAGTGGGGACATGTAATGCTCATCGGCAAGCTCAGGGCCACACATCCACTTGTCGCGGTTTTCGGAATCCATGTCCAGCTGCATCCTGGGAGGGCGGGAGTCTGAAATCGCACAGCTCCCAGCGGTCACACACACAGAGCCAGCTACATGTACGATAGACATGTAAAAGATGATACATACGTATGCACATAGAGGGAGAGAGAGGGAGAAAGGGAAATTCAAGCCGTCTTGTTTCCAGGAAAGAACTTGCCAAAAGTATGCAGGATCGGAAATATTGAAAGTAAGCAATATGCACAGCTGCCAGCTTGATCCCGATTCCCTCAGATAGCCGCCGCAATTCAAAGCCATATGAATCAAAGAAGTGCGCGCGACAGCAAGCCTGGGAGAACAACAAAGACAATGTGCTCTGCAAGGAGAAGCTGTCTGTGGCAGTGGTATCGCATATGTGAAATGCGTGTCCTTTTTTTGTCCATGCCGGTTGCAGTCTGTGCTTACCCTTGTAAATCCAGAAGCGACATGTATATCTGGGCCCACATCTGGGGTACTCCAAAACTGACATTTTCTGAATCTGTTGTGTATGGCCGCATTTGCATTGAAATAGGGAACCACCTCATAAGTGATTGGCGGACGTGAATTCTCACCTAAATGAATCTCTCCAAGGGTCTCGGGTCCCTCATCAAAATCTAGCCCGCCCTAAGATACAAGACCGTTTTGGACACTCACTTCCTGAGCGGACTGGCCAAAAGACAAGTCTCCGAACTTTGTATCTGCCAGCAAGAAAAGGTCCAAACCGTGACGATCAAGTCCATCCGGGAACAAGTTCTCTCGAAGCACCCCCCAGTCTGGCTTTCTAAGCTCCCGACTTTGTATCTGTGCAAAATCGTCTGAACTTTCTATTTCCCACAAGCTCTCACACGATCTTTTTCTCTTGTTTGCTGTTGACCCCGCTGCAAAAAGTTTAACTTCTTGGGGGTTTCGTGGAAAACCCAACTTGATTTCAACCAAAAAGCTAAAGTCGAAAGATCCGTCAGCCAATCGCAGTCAAGTTCCAAGCTCCCGACTTTGTATGTGTGCAAAATCGGCTGAACTGTGTCTTTCCCACAAGCTCTCAAGAGCGATCTTTCTCTGAGCTCCCGGCTTGATGCCCTTCTTCTGCACCGTCAGCTCATCCAAGGTCTCCCGCAGCCGGTTGATGGCCTCCGCCAGCCGGTGCTCGTAGACCTGGCGCGTGGAAGTGCCGTGACAGGTGGCCCAACCGAGGTTTCGCAGCTGTACGAGAACCCCTCTGCAAAAAGTGAGCTTCAGCTTTTTCCGGGTCCAATGCGGAAAATCCGACCTGTTTCAGGCAAAAAAATGGTCAGTCAAAAGATCCGACCAAAAAGCCATAAATTGCCTTTGATTGGAAGAAGATTCCACGATCACAAATGCCAAGTTTGTACGCGCACACGCGCATTCAGCTCGAGCTTGTGAGACTGAGGCGCGGCATTCAACACTTCTCACTTGTCCCAAGACTTGGGATCATGCTTAGAGTTGGCCCAGCTATGGAATCCAAATCGTACCCGGTGAACATCCCAATCCCCACTAAAATGGGTTCTAAAATGGGTGGTGCACCTACCCCAAAATGGTAGAATGTATATTTTATTTTTGCTGCACTTTGAGTCACTGGTAACATGTAAAATGTATCCTAAGTCTACCCCAGAAATGTAGGGGCAAGAGTTTGGGATGACGCAACCGACAACTCTGATCTGAGCTTCTTTCAGAATGCAAACATCATGTAATAAAGCTCATTGCTTACGCAAGCATGACTATGTTGCAATCACCACTGTACGCTTGGCTGCAATGGTGGATCGATGCAGGTTTCGTCGGTGATCAAAGCGCATCAAACAGCACATCAACCAGCTGATCAGAGCGATAGATGTAGAGCACACAGTAATCCGCTTTGTTTGTGTGATTTGCGTTGTCTCGCTTAATTATCATTGTGATAGCCATCATGGATCTGTTCATGGCCAGTATTTTTACGATGTTATCATGACAAATGCGATCATGACGATAAGGATGAGGATGAGACTCAGCACGAGGATGAGAATGATAATGAGGATGATGAGGCTGAGCATGAGGCTGAGGTGAGGATGATGAGGCTGAGCATGAGGCTGAGGAGGAGGAGGAGGAGGAGGAGGAGGAGGAGGAGGAGGAGGAGGATGATGCTGTTGTGGTGGGTGTGGTGGGTGTGGTGGGTGTGGTGGGTGTGGTGGGTGTGGTGGGTGTGGTGGGTGTGGTGGGTGTGGTGGGTGTGGTGGGTGTGGTGGGTCTGGTGGTGGTGGTGGTGGTGGTGGTGGTGGTGGTGGCGGTGGTGGTGGGTGTGGGTGTGGTGGCGGTGGCGGTGGCGGTGGCGGTGGCGGTGGCGGTGGCGGTGGCGGTGGCGGTGGCGGTGGTGGTGGTGGTCATTGATGTAAGACCAAGACCACCATACGGAAAGCGAGGTGGGCAATTCACTAAAACCATCACAATGGATTCGTGTCGGACTGGTTCTTCGCTTCAGCAATCGCGGCTTACTTGCAAAGGCGGCAAGCCCTGGAGGCATTGGGTTACTGGGGCCCATGTTGGAACGCTTGGAGATCTCGTTTCGAAAGTCTGGCTTTGGCTTACCCGTCTCATGCCTCACATGGTCAACGTCTTTCAATGCAAAGCACTACTCAGTTGGCTTTGTCAAAACTGGTCTCTCCTTCAGTGCCGATGTCAAACCAAGCGCATATCTGCACATTGCAGTTTTCCGCTTCCGGACATGTTGAAGCTCGCAACATGCAACCGAATTCCAGCTTCTGCAGCGCAGGCTGTTTTGTCCACACACACACACACCCCAACCCCCGAATCGAAAGATTGCAGGACTCTAACGAACAAACACCAAACGACACCTCGCCTCGTTGTGCTGAATCTGCTGCAGATATTGGACATTCCTCAGTCAAGGCACATGTCCAGTACATGTCCTGACGAGTGACACGCACCTTATACATCTTAGCATTATTTCGGGAGCAACTAGCTGCTTTCATTGGTTTCGAGACATTCCAGGCTCACACATGTTGGGTGCAGACCTGCAAAAATCGAAAGGCTCAGGTTTGGCCATCACCGCAAACAGGCCTGTTTTTAACAAACACATGGCATGATGGAGATGAGATCAGGTTCGCTTCGGGGAGTTGAAACGACGTAGGTATCTTGGCCCAAGAAGCCGGCTCAGGAACCCTGCAGCAAGCTCCGGGCATCTCCCAATATGCCATCATCCAACCATTCTCAAAGCCAGTCGGTTGCCTTTCTAGGTCCTCCAGTAGAGAGGATAGAATAAGGGTACCCTTTCTTCTGTAGTCTATTTTAGTAGGGGAACCCTAAACCAAAAAAGGGTAAAAGGGCACTACTGGGGACCTAGCTTTGGTTCGTCGGGAAAGGGAACAACTGACGCTGAGAAGCATCGAACGCAGGCAAAACGATGAGCCTGTGGTTGCCACTCTGAGACCCCTTCCTTCTTGAACTGCTTCTGAAACACTCCTAGACCAACAAGATGACGGCCACTTTGTGTTCTAACCTAGACTCTCCATGACCTCTTTGGAACAAGAACCTCATACCCCGGCCTATTTTTGGGTCATGACCCCTTTTTTACATGGAGACTCGACATGTCTCGATCCCACCCACGACCGCCACCGCAAAACGCCCCGCCGAGCGGCTGGTCCTTGGACTCCTTCAGCTTGGACTCCAAGGCCTGCGGCATCCGCGACCGCGGGAGTCCGGCGGGAGCGGACGGACGCCCTGGCCAGACTCGTGGCCAGACCCCAAAGCGCAGGCGTACAGCGTGAATCACCGGGAAGTCTCTTGGACCCTTTCGGTGATTCATCCATAGAGACAATAGAAGGCATTACAAATTAGAGAGAACTCTCTAAAAGTGAGCCGCTTAAAATGCCGATGTTCTTTGGCATGTTCATTCCAAAAAATCCTTTTTAGCCTGTGGGTTTGGTTTGTTGCGTGGGGTTCCTGTCGACGGCCCACCCCTCTTCGCTTCCTGTTCACGAGATGCATCTCTTTTGTTCTAGGCATCTGGGCCATATGGACTCAGGTTGCTCCATGATATCGACTAAGAGAAACCTAGCGCTCCCTGATACACATGTAACAACCGGGCAACCTGATTGTCCACATTGACGATTGCATCAACTAATGAATTCATGGTGTCTTATATGCTCCCTCATCCTCATAGCATATGGTCCTCCGTCGACATGCTAGCATACCCACCTCGCCAACCCATGCCATGATCGACATGTCCTCTTGTGATCATGGAGCTTCTGTGGCTGGACGCATTCGAGTTTGTTTTTACGTATCTGTTCACAGCTTCATGACTATGCTTGGATGCCCCAGGCAAACAGGGAAAGGACAAGGGCCTCTTCAAACCACATCCTTACAGCAGTTCCCATTGTGTTCCTTCCTTCCTTGTGGGGGGGCGGGGGTAAGGTTCCTAAACTTCTAAGGTTAGATTCCGCATTCTCTTCACCCATCGTTCTCTTTAGAAACCACCCAATTTCCAGGAGTTTGGCCTCTTTTTGAAGAGAACGATCCCCGAACAGAATGGGGAGGGTACAGCTAGAAAAATTAGGACCCCCCTTTTGGATGGAATGTTCAAGAAATCACAGGAATGCCAACTATTCTGGGGTTTCCTTCTTTAGGGCACATCCAATTGTATTGTAATACTTGGCTACTGCCAGCCAGCAAGGGCTTCCTTTCAGTTCCCTTTCCAGTTCCAACTTTAAGAAAAACAAACACACACCCAGTCAATTTCGGAATCCCAGAGAAACACGAGTACCATGTTTTCTAGGTCCTCCAGTAGAGAGATTCGAATAAGGGTACCAACTTGTTTCCGCAGTCTATTTTTGTAGGGGAACCCTCCCAACCAAAAAAAGGGGAGAGGTCGGGCACCAATTGCTGGGGGACCTAGATGATTGTCGAAAAGAACTGCGGCTGAAACATGGCTGTGGGTCAAAACCCTGTACCCCTAGTGAACATCGAAAAAAGGGTTAAAGGGGCAGCTACCGAGTTGTGGGAGTATCTTTAAGGCAGCCGCGCGCCGGTCCGTGTCCGTCCGCGCCTCGATGTCTGCCTTGGCCTGGGCCGCGAAGTTCTTCTCCGCCTGCACGGGCAGTTTTAAGCCCCCCGTTCTGTGGCACACTCTAAATCCCTTCTTTTTTGGCATCCCAAAAAAGTGTCAACCCCAAAAAGGGTTCCCTTCTTCTGAAGTCACTGAACTGGGGTGTCCTTCTCTAGGTCCGCGGTTCCCAGCCCCTTTCGCCGGCAAATCGGATGAGATGGACGAAGGCTCGACGCTTGGGTCACATTCCTTTGGGCCGCAAATCCGAAGCTCGTCTTGATATCTTGGGCTGGTTAGAAGGCTTATCAAAGGGGTCTATGCTTGGATCCTTGCTGGTTTCCCTACCAACCAAAAACCAGCCCTTCCCACAAAAAGTCGGAAGAAGGGCAACTGGGAGAAGTGGGTCCGAATCCGCAACTCTCAAAACTAGGTCCTCCAGTAGAGAGGTTAGAGTCAAGGTACCAACTTGTTTCTGCAGCCTATTTTAGTGGAGGAACCTTCCCAACCAAAAAAAGAAACGGTCAAAGTTGGCACGGGACCTCGAGAAACTCTCACACCAATGTTGCGCTGGCCTCCTTGAGCTGCCCGGTTTCTGCTTGAGCATTTCGGAGCTCCTGAGCGAAGTCTGACGCAAGGGCTTCTGTCATGGAGCCCGGGGGGCAGCCTGGGGAGAAGGACTATCCCTTGTTAACCCCTTAAGGGCTTATCCTAGGCCCTAGGCTTATCCAGGGCTAGCCCCAATGGCTCTAGGGGCTCATGATTTTTGGAAAGGGCATGACCGCTTGAAGCTGCTGATGCTATCGTCCTCTTCAAATTTGGCAATCTCGTTGTAGGCTCCCAACAGCTGCTGATTGCCTCCGAGATGACACGTTTTTCTGGAATGAGCAGTGACAACCTTCTTTGGGCCTTGCAACTGTGCCTGACAAGTATCTTGCCAGGCTTTGAATCCTGCTTCCTGAATCATAGAAGTTTCCATGAACACACTGGGAGCTCCAGTACATACATCCACTGACCGACCTCTGCCTATGGCTTCACAGCATACCGTGCCTGTGGCTTTGACGAGGTTGTAGTCATCCGCGATCTTTTGCAGGCGGTCCTGTCGGCGCTCCGTGGAATTCCGGCGTCAAACAACCAAGTCCAGACACAGACTCTCAGAAGTCCATTTTCTCATGTGGCAGTGAACCTTCATGGGGCACTCCCTCACGAGTGTTTGGTGGACAACAATCAATTTTAGTTCATAGCCATGTGCAAAAGCTCAGAAATATCGCTTGACATCATTCTGCCCTTTTTGAGACAAGCATCCCATCAGGCCTCTGAGATTTGGGCATCTCTGGAATTCCAGGTCCGGAAAAGCGGCCCAAGTGTGCTCCCAGGCGCGTGGCTTCCCCGAAACCTTCGAAAAAGAGGAGCCGGTCCTCATCCGAGTCATACCTCATGAGGTTTCGAGTTTGGCCTAGTAGCTTGGAACCAAATGAACCAGGGGACCAACGGGCCTTGCCAGTCAGGCCAAAAAGCATGACGATAATCAAGAGGTTGAACAGAAACGAGTCCCATCCTGCCAAGAAGGGCAAAGTTGTAGGATGAAAAAGAGTTATCCCGACTTCTGCAATACAAGGGAATCCCCTCTTTATACGGGGCGTTCTTTGGGAGGCCCGTTTTGTTGTATCACAGTGGTCATTTCAACCACAGCCCTCAAAAAAACGGCGAAACTCTGAAGCCCTGCACCAGAGTGCTTCAATGCCATGAATTTTGCGAGTCGGCCCACTTGGCGTCTGAAAGCTGAAAACCCAACTTGCCGTCCACAGCCCATCGTTCCGCTGCGGCCGCCCGCTTGCCCGCCTGGGTGGCCGCGAGCGTGGTGACCTGGGTCTGCCGCTCCTTGACCAGCTGCTCCTCCTGCTCCAGCATATCCTCGTCATGTGGCGGTGCTTCATAGCTGTCCTTTTAGAGGAAATAGATGGGTTTCCCTGGTAGTTGATGAAATCACCGGGTAAACCAGGGCCATCTATTTTTCGACCAACACCACCAAAAAGGACACCTATGCAAACGAACCAGGCTGTGGATGGACGAATTCCTGAACCACCTAAGAAACCCTTGAATGATGATTCCCCTGTAAACATCAACAACAATAGTTTCCCATGGTTTCAAAGTGGTGCAGGATTTTGTCCACCCACAGTAGGTACCCAGAATGGGTTGCCCGATCGGTAAATGGAAACAAAGATCTGCGGTCCATATCCTGGTGGTTTCATTTTCACCCACACTCATGCGGGTTTCAGCTTTGAGGGACCCTGTGGTGGACACCATTTGGGTGGGGAGGAGTTATATTGAATTTTCATTGGGAACACTCTTGTGCAGGGCTGTGGTTGAATTGACCACTGTGACACGACCGAAAGGGCTTCCCAAGGGCTAACATGTTATATAAAGGGGAGATGCCCTTGTATCACAGAAATGGGGATAAACCCCTTGATCCCACAACCCTGCTCTCTTGGACACCATCCACCAACATCCTTTTAGGGGTTTCCATTACAACTCAGGCCATATTGACTATTTGTTCCATCCCTTTCCCCTTGGATTAAAGAGCAACCATAAGAAAAGCAAGCCCGCCTATATTCACACATACCCATAATATGTGAAGGCTTGTGGGAAAATGAGTGTTGACTCGCATCAGTGTGAACCCCTGTCCTACTCTCCTGATAGGTCAAGAGACGCCCCTTCTTCTGAGACTGATTTGCATAAAAGGGAAAGAAGTCCTTTTCGGAGTTCCTTCTGGCAATCTGCAGGGAGGCACTTCCAGCTTGGCCAATGGACAAGCCCTTGAGAAACAAGGACTGATTTGCTTGCCCCATTTCAGTCCTTTTGTCTTGCACACCACATGCGAGTTGCGAGATGAGTTCTGCCTAATCCTCCCCAAAGTTCTTTGCACTGAACTCCCATGACTGCTTTCACACCCTCTTGTACTTGAGACCACACTCAAAAAGAGCAACCAAATGACGACTGACAGGAGCCACATGACTTTTGTCATGTGCAAGTCGGCCTGATGTTTTCTGCTCCCGAACAGCTCGCAAACAAAATGAGTCATGAGGGAAGTCTGAACTTTTGTGAGAGTTCTTCTCAGGCCCCGGCCAAAAGAGATCGGTTCTGCTCCGACAGAACTCTAATCTGCTCATCTCGCCTCGGTTCGTCATTCTCGGCTTACCATCGGCTGCAAAAAAATATGATATGAGTAGATTCATCTGTGGCGATTTGCCGGATGACCGACCAGACAAAAGGCAAAAGGTGATGGAATAAATGGTCAAGCTTGCAGCATTTTCAAATATGATGTTTTTTGCAACACGCATGCGTCCCACAAGTCGCAGATGAAGCATCCTAGCCCAAAGATGATAATCCTCCATCAAACATGATGACATATGACTGTTGACTTTGTGCTGGCATCTCAGCTAAGAGTGTGCATTCATATTGTGTGGCAATTGTTCAAGTTGCATGAGGAAAACAAACGAGCAACGTCGAGCCACCACCTGTTTGCGCATCGCACACTATCGATGTCCAAAGGCTTGTGAAATCATCACCCTCCAAAAGAACACACAAATGGCAGTGGACATGAGGGCGTCCCAAGAAAGTTTCGGGGAAGCTCCTGTCCACTGCCACGTTTGTTTCAGGGAGGCTAGTACCGCCAGCTCCAGAAGACTCTCCACTAGCCAAGCAGCTTGTGGATTTCTGCAGCGGAGATGTTGCACTTCTCCTCAGAGGTGCCGCAAGTCAAAAGCTATGTCCGGTGTTTGGAGAAGGCTAACCCCACATGAGTCATAATCAACACCCGGTATTAAAACGGTCTACCCAGAACCATGTAAAGAATTAAGAAGGCGGCCGCAGCTGTTTATGGTTGGGATTTCCCTTGCTAACCTTCAATTACCCGGGTTCTGATTGTGGCTCACATGGGCTAGAGCAAGCCTTTGCTGTTGAATGGCACGCGTGATGCCAGATTCGTGCCATTCACATCCTTGGCACTGGATTGGCAAACAAACAAACAAAGAAAAAAAATAAGGAAAAAAAACAGCAGACAGACAGACAGACAAACAGACAGACAAACAGACAGACAGACAGGCAGGCAGGCAGGCAAGCAGGCAGGCAGGGAGGCAGGCAGGCAGACAGACAGACAAACAGACAAACAGACAAACAGACAAACAAGCAACACTTCTTGTTGTTTTTTTTAGTCTGAAGGCCACACAATGCATGCTGCACTTTAGTGTCACGCGGTCTTAACCCAGCTCTGCGCTTGCAAGACCGGCTCGGACATCCTTCTCATGGACCACAAAAAGGACATCCCGTGAGGATTGCCGGCAAACTGCTGAATTGGGTAATGACAAACATAAGACCCTGATTCCCAGGTACACCTTTCGCAAGCGGCACCATTCAGATTTACATGGGGGCTTGCCCACACGCACACTCACTTCGTCTCCCGAATGTGTTGCCACTTGCATTGGAACTCTGACACCCTCGACCGACACGTCACACACCATTCCCCGCTTGCCTCAGTGTCTGCCAACTCCTGCTGAAGCTTCTGATACTCCGACTGAATCTGAAGCCTCTTCTCCTCGCAGAGAAGAGCACGTGCCGCAGGAGAACAACTAAGCTCCTTCACGCTTTGCAGTTTGTGGTTTTGCAACTTCCCCTGGGAGATGTTAGCACTTGTGGGTTATTTAGCGACCAGCCCCTGAAAGAGCAAGCTCTGTTGCTTGCGTAGCTGTGGATGAACAAAGTGATCTGCAATCGTCCATGTCCAAAGCCAGAATTGAAGGATCGCCCAAGGGACCGTCATGGTAAGCTCGTTTTATGCCCCCAAGCTCGTCATGACTAGGGAACCATTGGGAGAGGATCCTGGAAAGGTGGGCGGGCGTGAATTTCCAGGTGTGAGCCCAAACCTGGTGTGCAGCCCTTACTTGACATATATATATATATATATGAGTGATCTAAGCACAATGATATCTCTGGGGCTTGGAGGTGCCCTGCGGAAAAAAAAAAACAAAACACTTTCAACGGATGCCGTGAATTTATTGGAATGGCATCTTCTTGCTTGTTGTGAACAATGATTCAGTATTCGGCGAATTGAAGACATCATCATGGTAAGCGTCCCTCAAAAGTACATTTGCTTTAGTCCCCTGCGAAAATCGTGCATGTCCCGTAGTATAAATTCCTTTTGAAACCAACGGGTAAAAAAACATATATAATCTCAAGCAAACGAAAGAGACAGAGAGTAAACAGTGCGGGGGCCCTTGGAATAGGTGCTTTGCAACTTCAAAACGGCCCCAAATCCATTTGAGGAAATTGAAAGGCGGATATCCGCACCTATTTCTGGCTAGGACTGCCGCGTACTAAACTTCTACCCGGGGTTTGACCGTGGAATGGCCAACTACGTCGAACTGGGGCTCTTTCATTGATTCGCCATCGCCGGTCTGGGGTGAGAGTAGCGTTTCTCCGGATAAATTCTATGCCGTTCTATCTGCCTTCGACGCAAATGCCCTGATCTGTGAATGCTCCGGCAAAGACTTGAGCTGCTTCCCGAATCATTTGCGGCTGCATGGTGTTCGGCTTTAACCGAGCATATCAATCAACGAACGACAACAATCAACGACCCTTCACCCCTCTCAGCCCCTCTCCCCCCTCAACCCCCCTCAACCCCCGACCCTCGTCGGATCGCCGGTCGCGCCTCCCACTGAGCGATGTCTGCGAAGGCCTTGTCGCGCTCCTCCTCGACTCGGTCGAGGGCTCGGGTGGCCTGACATGTCGCGTCGCAGCGGTTGGCTCACGGGGAAAGCCCACGTACGGCCCACAAAGGGAAACACAACCAACATGTTCAGACTGTTCAGATGGCCAAACCCCATACCCCCAGCGAACATCCCAATCCCCACTAAAATAGACTAAAATGAGTGGTGCACCTACCCCAAAATGGTAATCAAGCCCAATTCTGACTGGGATTGTTCCTTACTACCCTCCAACTACGCGAATTTTGATTGCGACTCAGATTATGTTTCATATTGAGTCTACCCAATATGAAATAGTTCCTGATCACCTCATGTTAGTGAGACATTGCCCGCTTCCGGCTCCCGGACCCGGAGCAGTTGCGTACACCGCCGAGGAAATGACTCTGAAGGGTCTGTTTGTGCACGTGGCCCGTTGCGATCCACATTTGCCACCATGTTGAATGGCTAAGATGGTGTTGGTACGATACAATTCCGTGGGCCTCCTGTATTTCGTTGGTAATTTAGGTGGGCTCTTTGCGTCCTCATGTGGGTGGTTAAGTGGGCTGCTTCGGCCTCCCTTGAAAAAGCCGAGGGAGATTCCCTATGTTTGGGGACCCTCTTTGTTGTCCGTTGGTTTTCATGCCCTCAGATTGCACAGGTCCCCCATTTGCCTTATGAAGCCCCGAAAATGGCTTCAGGTGTCCTTTTTGCCTGCACAACTCCAAAAAAGGGCATCCTCGCCGACTTCCCTTTAATTTCTGTTGCAACGAGCCTGACCTTCACCAAGAATGAAGAGCCCCCACGGCAACTTCATTTCTGGTTTTGCCCGGCCATGGTACTCCACATGGACATAGCCGAAAAAGATTCATTTGCGCCTGGCCTGCCACGATTGAGATGCAACAACTCAGCCTCGCGGAGCAAAAGCCGAAAGCTCAGCACGTCGCGCCCTTTTCCCCCGGCCTCCTTGTTCTGATCCTGCAAGAACTTCACATTGTTGTGCCTGAGCCCACAAGTCTCGTAACTGGGCAGCCCGCACCAGAGACTCTGCCCTGGATCATGCAATGGTGGCTCAGAGCTTTGTCAATCAACCAGCTTCAAATCGCTGCTGTCCGTTTGCTGATCCCCTACAAGTTTAACTTGTGGGTTAAATGGAACCTACCACTAAACCAACTGAAACAACGAAAAGGCTGGGAACCGCCAAGTCACACTGACATTGAAGCTCCACACAAGTAAGCCAGGCCCCGACTCCTGAATTAAACCAACACATGAGAACTTGGAGTGTCGGACGCACTGCAGAAAAAGGGAACCCCCCCCCCCAAACAAAAAGAAGAAGGGCACTCACGTGGCAAGGTCCCAAGTTTTGACACACACACACACAGACACAGATTGCTCAAACTCTTCCAAACGGCTGGCTTTCGTGTTGATACTGTATCCCTAGATTGACGCATCATGATTAGAGTTAGGCCCAGTTATAGAATGTATATTTTATTGTTTGCTTCACATGGAGGCACTGGTAAAATGGTAAAGGTGTATCCTAAGTCTACCCCAGGCATGTCCATGCCCAGGCCGCGCCTGAAATTCTCGTGCTGCTTGCCCCCTCTGAAATTCTCGGTCTGCTTGTCCTCCTGCGGCTTCTGCCAGGTGTGAGTCCCAGCCAGGCTCCCCACAGTACCTGGCGGAGGCGCGCGGAGAAATTCGGTCTCGATCCTCCGGTGATGGCTGTGGCTCAAAAAAGTGGTACCAACACTTGGTTGCTGCAACGACCCCCCTGCAAAAAGTTGACCGCTTTTTGGGGGTTTAGTGGAAACATTATTGATTTCCCTAAAAGTCTAAAGATCCAACCCAATAGCAGTCAAGCAAAACGGCACCTTGGTAAATGGAACCAAAGACTCAAACCTGCGTAGCCGTAGCTCTTTGATTTGAGCCATACCCATGGTGTTTTTCACCTGAATCTCCGAAATCGGGGGCCATGGTCAGCCTCGATCCTCTCTGGCTAACTGTTGGGAAACAAAGCCTTGGGCTGGAGCCTGGGATTGGCACCAGCATGCCACAGAAAACTCAGAGCAAGTCTGGCCGTTTCAGCTCTCGGGTTCAGGATGCTGCAACTTCTGAGTCTCTCACTCGCACCAGCGCGACAAGGCGAAAAGGGGCGCCAATCGTGTATGTGAGCAGCATGCAATGAGTTGGACATACCAAGGACATCCACCAATTTACCTCCAAACAGCAGGCCAGATTTGACCGGAAGGCCTGATCGTAGCATCCCAAACCCGCCCTCGCACAACCCTCCCGCCCTTTGTGTTCCCCAAAATGACCATGACACGTTTTGGCCTGGTCAGAGTCACCATGTATACCATGTGTTGGTCACGAAAAACCGTGAACGGCTTTTCGGACCCCTGTTGACACTGACATCCGCATGGTAGGCAAAGCATGTCTGAAGCGAATCAGACTTCTTTGAATGCTTGCGCAAGACGCCATCAACCACTATGATTGGTTGCCGGGTTCGACAAGGCCTCCAGTGTCTGTTTGTGCGTTTGTGTCTTTGTGTCCATGCCTGCTTCTCTGTGCCAGCGAAACTTTGCTGATTCGGGGGGGGGGTCCCTCCCATGTGATGTATTTGAACAGCACTCAAGCCCAGGCCTGTGGCCTCTTCAGGAGCAAGCGCCGCAGTGGCCATGGCTCGGCTCGGCTCGCACGAAAATCTCAGATCGAAGCTTCAGCTGACTCCAAGCTCTGGCGCCAATGTGACCCCAAGAAAAAACAACCAACAACTGCAAGGCATCTAGCAAGTAAAAACCACCCAAAGCCACCAAAAAAAAAGCTGACTCGCGTGGATTTTTTGCCGAACTTGCCGAACGCGGCCAGGCTTTGGCCCGGTGAAACGTCGCACAGCTGGAGCCAAGGATTCGGGTTCGCTCCCCTCGTTCCCAACATGGCACCTGACAGGGTTTTGGTCCCAAGAGGACTGATCTTCCACCTAGACCCTCCATGACCCCTAGAAAAAGGGGAGTCATAACCCCTGAATTTTGGGTTAAATGACCCCATGTTTTAAGGGTCATGGAGACTCCAGGCAGGTTCCCTCCAACAGTTGCCTGCTGGTAGTGTCGTTTTGTTCCCTTTCAACACTAGAAAGGGCCTCAACAATTTTAGGGCACGCATGGTGCAGTTGCTGAAGTCTAAAACTCGCCTAACTGGGTGAGAATGAATTTGTGGAAAGCAATTTGGGGAGAATCTGTTGGCTCACTTTGTGAGACATGGGAAGACTAGTACCTCTTCATGCAAACATACTGCACCAGGGCTGTGGGAAATGACCACTTCTGCGATATAACAATACGGGCTTCCGAAACACTAACCCCCCACATAACGGGGGAGATTCCCTTGTATCATAGAAGTGGGGTAAAACCCCTTGATCCCACAACCCTGTACTGTACCCATAGCGACTCACTAGCATTCTGCCTTATTCTGGCTCTCATATCCTGTTGAACAAACAAATAGAAACTCGGTGCTACCAGTTGAGGCGACACTTGAGGCGATTCGAAGCACGCACGCGCTTGCGAGAAAAAATCGGGCGCAGCACGCGTTTTGTTCCCGCGACCTTGCTGTAATAGCGAGCGCCTGGCGCGAAGAATCTCATCCGTAGGGGGAAGCTCCAATATCTACTTGACTTGTTGGTTGAATAGGCAGGGAATGAGAGATGGAATGATTCCTGAGACAAACCAGCCCTTGTTACCTTTAAGGGAACCCCCTTCCGGTTCGTTGGAAGGTCACTCCATACTGAGCAGAAGCAAGTTGGGTAAATCTAGTTGATCTACTCTACAAAAGCATCACCCGCTGTGTGACTTGGATCTTGCATGAAACCAACATGCAAACATCGGATGTGCCACAGAGTGCGAGTCAACACTTTGGCCTATTCAAAATAGATCATGCAGGCAGCCTTCTTTTCGTTTTTCCTTGAGGCTTGGGGTAGCGGGAGGCTTACTTGTAGACTCTCTGCAAAGTCGGTTCCAGTTTTTGTTGCAACTTTTGGTCTTCCTCTCGCACATTGAGCAACTGTTTTGTATTTGGGCTGGCTGCATTTTACTCAGCTTCCCTCCAAGTGGTTCGCATTGGTTGGATGTAAGGGACTGTCTTGCCTTCTGCTTTACTCAAGGGGTTCAACTCCCACCAATCCAAACCGCCGATTTCAGGGGTATCCTAGTATCATGGCACAACAGGGCTCCCTGTATTCCTCTTGGTAGATTAACATATCCATCCAAACCACCAATTCATTTTAGAATTCATGTCTATTGATAGGTCAGAACTACCTAAAAACAGCAAGGCGGGCAACACCTTTTTCTTGAGCCAATGTATGATGGATTACACTGTTCATGACGAATAGCCACCTGCCAACAACAATGTCCAACCCCCTTGGAGATGACGCCAGATTTACACATCACTCCTTAGATAAGGGGAAAAGCGGAAACTAATCTATGCCACTAATAATCACAGGTGACCTTTTGGAACAATGGATGGGCTTTTCTGGTAAATAGATTGTATAACTTACCAGTGGAACCCATGAAACAACAAATCTACCAGAATGGGACATAAAACCATCACCAGTGGAACCCATGAAAAGAAAGCAAATCAAACCAAACTAAAGAAAAACACCGTTGGGGCCAATCTATTTCTAGGATCTAAAGCAAAAAGGACACCTATTCACCGAACCCATGACAAAAATCCACTAAGTCCAACTTGCCAATCAATCCAAAGCCGCAAGCAACCGGGCTCCCAACAAAAAAAAAACATCACCCCCAAGGGACACTCACCATAAAGGGCCAACAAGGATACATATATATATATATATATAAAGGAGAAAAAAACTCAGCTGGACCCCGTTCGCCCCCCCAGTCCCCGGTGCATCCATCGCATCGGTCGCATCGGTCGCATCGGTCGCATCGGTCGCCTCGTGGGCGTCGCAGGCCCAGAGCGCGCCGCCGAAGCCGGGGCTGCCTGGGGCGCTGCCCAGGCGCGCGGCACCCTCCAGGCGCCTGCGCCGAAAGCGCCGAAAGAGGAGCGAGTCGTGGGTGGATGGTGGGGGGTTGCTAAGGGAAAAGGAGAATGAAAATGGACAATTCCTCGGTCAATTCATCAAAATTGAGGAAGCGTTGGTAAAGCAACCCAAATTCAAAGTCAATTCAAAGTGAAAAGTTGGGGTGCTAAGATTGCTAAGGGTTGGGGTGGGGTGCCAACTTTTGAAAAAGGAAGCAACCAAAATTCAAAGTCGATTCAATTCAAAATCCATTGTGGGGGTCACACATTAAAACAAAGTGATTCTTCCAAGGAATCTGTTTTAGGGTTCCCCCTGCTCCCTCTGACTTTTGGGTTTCCGTCCTATCCGTGGAACCTGATTGGAGGAATTTCTTGATGATTGTCCGCCAGGGACCGAGCCTTCGGTGGCCTTTTCAGTGGGCAACCAACCCCACTTGAGAGCCGACAATCAAAGGCAGGGGCTCTTCGCCCCAGGTCAACAGAGGATCTTCGTCGGGTTGGGAAGTGGTTCCCCAAAACCTCTAATAATTGGGACACCCTACTGTGGATGGATTGCACCACCTAAGAAACCATGACAAACCATTGCTTGTTGGTATTTACCAGGGAAGAATCATTTTTCGGTTTCTCTAGGTGGTGCGAAGTGGATTTGGTCCATCCACCCTATGAATCCACCTGGGTCAGACGTCGTCGCGACTTGGGAGCTCCGCCTGCGCCCGGATCTGAAGCTCTGCAGAAGCTGTGCCGAGGCCTGCTGCATTCCTCGGCGAGCGGCGAGAGTGCATCGGAGCCGGTCAACGGTTGGAACCCGCGCCGTTGAAACCAACCCAAAAAGGGGGAGAATAGGTGGCCTTTTCGAAAAAGGCCCTGGCAAGGCAAATGGAAACCCCATAAACCACCGCCATCTATTTTTAACCAAACTAATCCAAAAAGGACACCTATGCCTACCCTCCAAAAGCAAACACGGAACCTCAAGAGTGTCCCCGTTGGAGGAAAATGATCTTCTTCGATTCTGGGAACGGATGCTTCTTGTTGTTGTCTTGGATTTTCCAGGCGGTCATCTCTCCTGGGCACATGGGGCTGTTTGCATAGGACAAAGGTCAGTGCTCAAGGGTATCACATCCCAGAACGCTAGCAACACGTCCTCAGCTCTTTTCGACGCTGTTGCCTATGAGCAAACCACTCCCTGCGACCTTGTGCAAAATCCGGAAGACAGTTGCTCAAAGCAAGGTTGCCAATGGCAACCGCGCTTGAGCACAGAAAGCAAGATTGCTGTTTCCAGGTGCCCTGGCATATAGTGCAAAGCTATTTCAATGAAATCAGGCTCGCCAGGAAAGGTGGCGTTCCTGGCTTTCGAACTAGATTTGCTCAAACTAGTCCAAACGAGTGTTCCCACTACATCAAACAGTCCCAACCAACCAACCAACCCCAAAAAATAAGCAACCTGTGGGTTCAATGGAAACCCAAACACTAAACCAACTAACATGAAAAACAAAAACAGCTAAGACACCGGATGGCTCGCCAGCAGGTCTCTCGGTTGCTTTCTGCTCCCCTGCTAAAAGTTTAACTTTAATGGAAAGCCGATCAGTTGGCAAAAAGTTAAAGTCCTAACATCCCTTGGCAAAATGCACTAAAGGAATCTTTTGGCGGATTCCCCGTCGCTGGCGTCGCTTCTCTTTTCGACTGAGGCTCGACGTTGCAGCTGCGCCCGCCGGGGATGCTTGGCTAAGGCCTGCGAGCGCGAAACCCCCGCGTCACGGCGGGTAAGCAACCCGTCCACTCGTTCAGCTCCACCCAGAACGCAGAACTGCAGCCAAGCACAGAACACGTAACAAACTTCAGGCAGATGGAACTGGAATCATTCTGAGCTGAAATATCCATTTGCAGGGCTCAGTGTCTTTGCTCATCCAATCAATTGCATCCAGCCTCGACGCTTCGAAGCTCTTCCTGCGCAAGGCGATGATGCGTTGACGATACATGTTGTCAACACTCTGGCTGCATATCAACGCTCTGCACACAGAAGACTGCATTCAACCCAGAAGAGCGACACACACTTGTCACATCAAATCGGCTTCGGGGAAATGCGGGATGCTGCTCATGATTTTTTGTTTTTTCGCGCAGACATCTTCCCAAACCCAGCCCCATTCATGCCCAAAACGCCTCAACCCCTCATGCCCCTGGGATTTACCAAAATTTTGTCCCCTCCCCTCCCCTCCCTCCTCCCCTCCTCCCCTCCCCTCCTCTCCCCTCCCCTCCCCTCCCATCCCCTCCTCCCCTCCCCTCCCCTCCCCTCCACTCCACTCCCCGACCGACCGATCCACGAGCAGTCGCCTCCACCTCCGCCGCCAGCGTCCCTTCGGGGCGCCCCAAAGCCTTCAGCGCGCCGCCCAGCGCCCGGCGCCGCAGCGCGCCGAGGTACGTCAAGGCGCCCACCGCCTGACGAACCCACGACCCGACGACCCGATGACTGCGGGGAGGGAGCGCCCAGGGAGCGACCGGCGCCTTCGTATCGGGGAAACCCATGGGGGAAAAAAAACCGGCTGCTAGGGGCATTTCAGCAGATATATGGAAAAGAGGGGTCGCAAGTGGACAAAAACAGTTCCAAGGTGCTAGATGGTTGTTGTGCATGTGCCACAGGCTGGAATACTGGTTACAAATTGCTTGAGGGCCTTAGTGCAAAACAAGCCTGGTCTCGGGGCAGCGGTTGTGTCTTGAGGGTGCAAGGGTTGGATTCCGAAGGCAGGGGGTCCGAACTGGCAGCAGCTTCCCTTGCAACCAACCAAGTGGGGCCTAGATCTGGTGCCTGGGAAAATGCGCGCACAACTTATGCATCCTCTTCTGGTTTCTCGTTGGGTAACCTGCCACCATCCTGTTGGTTGCCGCAGCGAGCCAGGGGATAAACAGAACAGATTCGTCTTTTTGCCAGGGTATACACCAGGGTATAAACTGACTTCTGACTATGGCCGGGGGGGGGGGTCGTTTTAGCGCACCTTCGGGTTGTTTGGCGGAAGGGAATGGAAGCTTGGTGGAACCCAAGAAAAAAGTGTAGGTACAAGGAAAGTGGGTAGCTTAGTTGAGAGCCCTAGAATTTCCCAAGGGAAAAGCCCTGGTTCTTTAAGTTCATGGACTGTAAAAACCTGCTTGGAAAGAGAATCTTAGTGCCAAAGAAACGGCCAAAGGCCCTTCTTCTTTGCCATCTCAGGAAGTGAGTTCCGGACAAAGTCCCTTGCTCACTTGCTGAGTGGACGGCCCAAAAAAAGTCCAAACTTTATATTATTTTATATTTACCACTAAAATGGTCTTCCCAAAAAGTTTAAAGTTCATGAACTCAGGAAGTGAAATTGCCTTCCAGGACCTAAAGCCGCCTCTCGCGTCTCGCGTCGCAGGCGGCCTGGCAGGCGCGGCTGGATGCCAGCGCCGGCGCCAGGCCCGGCAGCTGCAGCGCGCAGCGCCAGAGCCGCGCGGCGCCCAAGCGCTGCGCCTGAGGCAATCGAAGCCGAGGCCATGGCGCTGGATCTGCTGAAGATTTGAGAGGCTAAGGCGACCAACTTGGTGGAACCCTCCGGTGATCCCATTTGCTTCCGGGAAAAAGAAGAAAAACATCAGGTCTCCAGCAGTTGAATCAATACCCTCAAAAACCAACAGGAGCAAATAACCACATATTCTTAACCAGGTCCTCCAGATTTGAGAGGTTAGAATAAGGCTACCTTTTTTCTGTAACCCTCCACAAAACAAGTTGGTCAAAGGGCACTGGGAGACCTATAGGCTGGTCCCCGTAGAGAATCGGGGAGGACAGTAGGGGGAAGACACACCCCTTTTGTGGTATGTACCATGCAGCCTTTGAGTCCACAGGGTAAATCCTGATACCTCTCCACGATAGCCCCATTCCAACGCAGCAGTTCACCCCGTGGAAATCCTTTCAGCTCAAGTGGGTAGTGTTTTTTTGTTGGTGCTCGGGGCCTATACACTGCACACATGCCTACGCGAGCGCCTACGCAACGCCTCCGCGACTGCAAGGGGCGCCTACGCGCGCACGTTTGTCTCTTGTCGCGCCTACGCGGACGCCTACGCAATAAAATCGCGCGCCGCTTTTTTCCAGCTCGAGCTTTGCAATGCCAAGTCAATCGTTGTCTGACACAGATGCAGATGATGTAGAAGAAGCAGATGATGTGGAAGATGATTGCGCCGACAAAGCGTGATAACATGTTTGATTTTCCAAGGATCCCCTTTGTCGTGGCTCTGAATCAGCATTTGAGCAGTGTTTTTTTGTTGTTTCGGGGCCTATACACGACTTGGCGCCTACGCAAAGGCCTACGCAAGCCTACGCGGCCTGCGAGGGGTGCCTACGCGATCACAAGTCAGCTTCCAGGTGCCTACCTACGCGGGCAAACGTTGAGTTCAAGTGTCGAAGTGCACAGTGGCAGCTCCAGCTGGAAAATCGCAACTTTTCAGTGCAAGTGCAGTTTTGGCAGCTCCGGCTCTAAGATCAGAAATGCAGTACAAGTGAGAATCCAACATCTGTCCAAGGATCTGGCTGGTAGAAAAGGCCTACGCACCCAAAATGCCTTGAAAGCCTACGCGAATACCTACGCGGGGCCTACGCAGAGCCTACGCGAAGACTGCAGAACAAACAGAAGGAAGGCAAAAGAAGCAAATTCCTTCATACGTGGCATAGGCGGACAGACGCCAATATATGGGCGTTCGTTTTACTGGGGGACCCTTTTGATGGACATATCTGGGGGTGATTCATGTCCGCCAACCGCTTTGACAATTCTTAGCCATGTTGGTTCAAGAACCCTTTTCTCAGTGTGTCTGCAACACCTCAGCCAAACCCATGCCCATCCATATGCATTGTAAAACATAAAGCTTCAGACAATACATAACAACTCCATCAAGTGCCTACGCGCGCGCCTACGCAAGAAAAAATACAAGGATGTGCGCGAAATGCCTACGCGATGCCTCCGCGCGCCTACGCCCCCCAGCTAAATTGCCTACGCGGACATGATGCAGTTCCCTTTTTGTATAAATCCTTGATTCCAAGAAAAACACGCTGCCCAAGTGAGGTTGGTGGCCCACTGAAAAAACCCGCCATGGAAGCTCCTGTGAGAAAATTGCTAGACTGTCAGGATCCATGAGGGGAGGGGAAACACTGACCGCGTTTGACATGGTGAAAGCACGGGACCAAACAAAAAGGTCAAACACACACGGAAGTTGTAGAACATATCTCGGTGGTGGTCAAGATGCCAAGACTCTTGGCACAAAGTGGCTCATCAAAGTCGGTATAGACTCCTTTGCGCATCATTCTCGGGAATGCTGCAACATTGTGGCCTCCTACATTGTTTGTCCATACAAGGGCGTTCTGATCTCCCAGCTCAAACAAAGGATACCAAATGCAAACCCCCTCCATAGAAACGTTCAGAAGCTTCGAGCTGGCAACTCGCTTCCGCTAGTTCCAGATCCTGCAGATAGGCCATGCCAGAAGCAGTCGGCGCGGCCCGGTACGGGAATCCTTGATGCAATGCCGAAACGTACTTTCCGAAGAAACAACTTGGGCTGGGCAAGGGGTTTATACACAACCCCCCACCCCCAACCCACCCCCAACCCACCCCCCAACCCACCCCCCAACCCACCACACTCAAACTGGGTCCCTCCCCGCGTTTCGTGTGACGAGGCGCCGCCGCGCCCAGCTCAGCAGCATTGCCGAAGGCTGCTGGGGCCCATCTGCTTATCGGCTCACCTCAGACGTGCCGTGTTGAGTTGGACCTAGGTATGGTGGCTCCAGCGGATTCAATACCACGGGCACATAGGGTCTACCTTTGATGCCTAGTGGATACAGTGAATTCTCTGAGATGACTAGACAAGTAAACGCCACATCACATTTGGCATACTGTCTTCTGTCGTTTGCCTTCAAAGGCATACCAGGAAAGCACCAGGCCTTTCCACACACGGCCGCTCGCTGAAAGTTGAGGGAACTAAACGCTTCATGACACCGTCACTTGGTGGAAAGCTTGGAACGCGTGCCATCGACGCTACCAACACCAAGCCAGCTCGGACGGCTGCGCCCCCCACGCCGCTGCTATTGATTGGCTCCTTTCCTTGCTGGTGCTCAGCTCGGAATGAGGCAATGACCCTTATAAACCATCCCTTGTGGGTTCCTTCAAGGGAATCCCTAGGTTCATTCCCTCATTCCCTACTGAGCACCAGCAAGTTTCTTTCCAAGTTGGACCGGAACCAAAGCAGGCAACGCGATTCAGCTCATGCAGTGCGACAATAGGAAAGCATGGCTTGCTCGTTGCCAAACAATAGGGTGAACTTGCGTGAGCGCCCCGTCTTATGCAGAAAAACAAAAATCGCGTCTGGAAGCACCTGTATCCTTGTTCACGCTAGTGACCCACTTTCCAATTCCCAGGGAAGGTGTATAATTATCCTCCAACAATGGGAACAAGAAGCGTGACCTCGTCTCGACCCCATCTTGGGGTTCCCCAATCGCTTCCCAAAAGTCACCCAAAGGACAAATGCCAACAAGCTGGTGATGTTCAAACCACCAAGGAAGGGGAACACAGGGACCTGCTTTGCCAAAGAAGACCGGGCATGCAGAAGGGTCCGCTGTTTTGGAAAACGCCCTCATATTCAGTATGTGTCATTTTTGAACAGCACGAAGTGTCTAAACATGGCGAACCCATCTCGGTTGGTGAAGGCAAACCATAAGGACACCAACCACAAACGTGGGCTTGCGTGGGCCATCCTCTGTTCCTGGGAACGCTCACTACGGTGGAGTAATGCGCACCTCTTTCAAGCCCTCATCCGAAAGTCAAAAGCATTTGCTTCCCAGAAAAGTCCCCTGGTGTGTGTTGGAAATTTCAGAGCTCGTCCCCTCATGTCCCTCCCAAACGAGCCATGGATGCCCAATCAGTTTGATCGAACCATGTGTCAAGATAGAGGGACCCACCAAAAGGTTTCTGTCTTCCCTGTTGCTTTCCCTTTAATCAGTACCAACCACAAGGGTGCCTTCGCAGAAAATCCCACCAGGTGGCAACAGCCGCGGAACCCCTGAGTCTAGCCGGGGAAGAACACAAGAACCCCTTCGATTTTGGCTTTACTCATCTGGTTCGAACTGGAGTCACTGAATTTCCACTTGAACAGTTGCAATTCATTGCTGGTTTCCATTGAAACTGCCACTTCTTTGTGTGGCTCCCCCAAAAAGGGAAACCCCCCTTTTTTAAACGACTTCTCTACCCCGGTACCATCCACCCCAGGCCAGCTCCCAGCCTTTCGTTTCCCCTCGGACGCTCCCCGCGCGGAAGCCGCGGCGATGCGCCGACTGGAGCGCGCGCCGCGTGAGGAGGTTGGGCTGAAGTCGCTGCTGGGACATGGACCGCAGGAGCTCCTCACCCCGTCAATGGCCTCAAAAGGAGGGCAACCGTTGCAAAAGACCAGGGCCCCCTCTTCACGTTTTTTCTTCCTATCTTTTTACCACTAAAATGGTCTCCTCTTCGTAATTGTTTGTTTTAGGTGCCCTGTTTTGTGGGTGAAAAAGGAAACCAAATAACCAACAAAGGACAACTCCCATTTGGAGGCCTCCCCCTTCTCAAGACCTGAATGGCCTGGCCAAAAAACACAAACTGCTTATTTACCACTAAAATGGTCTTCCCAAAAAGATTAAAGTCCATGAACTGAGGGAGTGGGAAGTGGTTGGACCCACATTCAGGTGGGGTTGTGTGTCCAGCAACCATTTTTTGAGGGGCTCCCCAGTAAAATTCTTCCCTAAATGGATTCTAAAACGATGCTCCACGCCTTGTTGTGCTTCGGTGAGATCGGAACCTGTTTGTTGGAACCCGTTAAACGAGTTCTCTGATGGACTGCAGGTTCAACCGCAGTCCCTCCCGAAAAAAGAATGCTAAAAAGAAGAAACCAGAAGGGGTTGGATGCACAAAAGGAGATGTTCATTTTGGCGGAACATGCTGCCTACTTTCAAACCCCTTGACATGATTACAAACTGCTGTGTACCATTCTATGCGTAAAAACGGGCCAATTCCACTGGCCAAAATAGCAACCAAGAGTCTAACATCTGTGAGCCCTTTGACTAGCCTAAAGCATATGGACATAGGTGTCCTTTTAGGGGAAATAGATGGCCCTGGTAGATGATTAAACCACCAAGTAAACCAGGGCCATCTATTTTTCGAGCAAAACAACCAAAATGGACACCTATGCATAATATGAAGATAGGAAGTCCTCTGCAGGCATGGCGTGTGCAAGGCTTGTGTAGGTCACCTTGGCATCACTTGTGGTCGGCGCGGCTCGGCTTAGCCCCCTGATCCATGAGGATGAATGGTGGCAGTGGGACAAAATCATCAGTGGATCTCCCCTTCACAAGTTGAACAGTTGTCGGGGGGACTCCCATGAATCTGCTGCTTTCGGATGTTCAAACAAAGGAAAATTTGAGGGGTGTTTCCGCTTCTCAGTACCAAAGGTACAGCATTGTGTGGAGCCTTTTCAGATTGTTTCTTGCTTGCGCCATGCCTATGCCTACGCCAAAAGCGACAACTCCCGCAAAAGCGCCTATGCGAGTGTAAAAACAGGCCGCCACGAAGATGTGGGGCTTGCCAACAAAAACTGGCTGGTGCTCAGCAGGGAATGAGCGAATGACCCCCTAAAAACCATCCAACTGGTACTGGTGGTTTCCTTTACGAGGATTTCTGGGTTCATTCCCTCATTCCCTACTTATCGCACCATTTGGCCTTCTCCGCGCGCGTCCACATGCGCCCCACTTGAAACGGGTCCCAAAAAGGCCACGGCCAATACAGTATCCGAGGCTCGCGCCGCGTCGGGGTGTGAGCTGCGCCGAAAGAGCGCCAACGCGAGCTGCCAGCGTCGGGCCCGGGCGGCGGCGGAGATGGCCGCGTTGAAGCCTCGGGATCCAAGGCATTGAGTGGCAAGCCCCAAAAGGGAACAATATGGGCATCGTGTTCTACGAGGGCCCAAACAAAAATGGGATTTCGAGGGTGAAAAAAACCAACATTTCCATGCCATGATCCTTTTCCAAGTGGAAGCGATCCTTTTCAAAAGGAGCACCAATGATGCTCTTTCCCAAGCAAAAGGTCCGACCTTAAGGTTGGCTGGAAAATCCTGGCTGGGGGGTTGCCACGAGTTGTCACCTCACTGCCCGGTCATGGTGGGAACCTTCCATGTGCTTAGGTCCGGAGAAAAAAAAACAAAATGCCCAGCAGCGAAATCAATTCCCTTCCAGAAAATAACACAGCTTAAATTCTCTTAGAAACACAACGGGAGAAACACAACAGCTTAAATTCCCTTTGAAAAACCAACAGGAGAAAAGAAGAACATATTCTTAAGCAAACGGAAGGAACTCCGGGCTTCCCGGCTGGACATGCCTTGCGCCTCATCCGCCAGTTGCAGGGCCCTCTTCAGCTGCAATTCCCGGGCGCAGGCCATTACGGTGGAGCTGTAGCTGGCCTGAGGCTCTCTCTCGTGCCCCCCCAACTGAGTAAACCTTCGAACAATCTCTTGGTTGGCGTTGGAAGGGGAGCAACAACTTAAATCTTTGCAGTTAAGTGGGGATCTCCCACTAAACCACAATAAGCAAAAATGTAGAATGTTTTCCAACAACAATGATGATATGGTTCGTTTGCTTTTGTTCGGGGGGGCAACCAACAAAGCACCAACAAGTAAGCTCATGTCACAAGAGATCTGCAAAACAAGTCGGCCGGTGAATGAACAACAAACAACGGCACACAGCAGTTGCGATTGGCAGTTTTGCAACCAGTATCGGGTTTCATCAACCCCTAACTGATGCGTGGATTAGATCATCAGCAAGGAAAGGAGCTGGTTGCCTTGCGGTCCATTGGGGCTCGTGCGTATGTGGAAACACCAAGAAGCACCAAGCGATAGAATGAAAGAAACCAGAACAACCGTGTTGTTGACAAACCTAGCAATGCCCACCAACCTGCAAACTCTTTGCCCGCAAACATGCCGCTCAGAAACGGCAGGGGAGATCAGGAGCACCGAGAGCGACGGAGGACATCGGAACTTCCATGCGGGGAAGCGCAGCAAAGTCAGGCCCGGCAAATAAGTCGTGTTGCGTTCATTTGAGACAAGTGACAACCGGCCACATGTGAGGTGGCTGAACCTATTTGGTGCCCATGATTAAACACCTGCAAATTAACATGTTTGTTTGCTGGGAAACTGTTTGTAACCCAAACCTTCAGCCCTTCTCTTGTTTTAAACCCTCCCATTTTGGTCTGGGTTCCATGTGGGTGTGTCTTTCTTGAGGGCACCTCCTTTCTTGGTGTACGAAAAAGAGGAAAGCCGTTGCGCCACTTTGGCGGGGTCCAACCTAAAAAACATCGAGCCACCCCTTGTTCACCAACATTTGGTGGTGCTCCAGTTGAAAACCTAGGGGAAAACCGGAGCCGCGCCATTTTGGGGGCTCCAACTTAAAAAAACGAAGACGAGGCGCCCCTCTTCACCCCTGCGTTCTTCTTTTTGGAGTGAACCCCAGCGAGCGGAACCGTGGAACCGGGCCGAAGCGCGTCATCCAGCGGCAGCCGAAGCTCCACCCCAAAGGCTAGGGAAGCCACGGACAGCTGCCACGTAGCCCCTCGAGAGCGAAACCCATCGACCAGTTCGAACGAGGTTTGGTGTAGGAAGTCGTTCCAACCATGGGCTTGCAAACAACTCTCTCTTCTTTTTGCAGCGCTACTACTATTCAAAAGAACCAAAAGAGCTGAAGGAGTACTATGATTTTTCTTCCACCGAACAATAGACCACCTGTGCTAATTGAACTCATTGAGATCCCCTTTCGGACGGTTTTTAAAAGGAAACATGGCAAATCTGGGGCAGGTTTGCCGAACAAGCAAGATTAATGTACAATAAAAAATCAGGATAACAATGCCAAATTGCTGCTGTAGAACTCTGGCCGTTGAACACGGTTCAGATGATATCCCTTTCAATTCTGATGCGGCCTGCTCTCTCAGTATGAGCTGCACCTACAACTTATTCTTCAGAATGTAGTGGCTTCCTTAAGGGACTCTTGGCCTTGGTCAACAAGCCCTTTGAATCAGGTTTGCTTTAGGATCAACCAGATATAAGACTCGCATGGAGGGTTCCTAACATCGGACGCGAACATTCTGTTGCCCTATCCTTCAAGTGGATGCCACATTATCGCCCTGCCCAATCATTTCAGCTTTCCATTTTGGCCTGGCGTTTCTCGCTCAGGTCACAGACATCTCAAACATTCTAAGGGTGGATTCCAACCATTCTTTTCAACCATCCTTCTTTTCAAAAACCGGATCCGTTTCCCCAGGGTTTTAAGGGTGGCTTAGAAAGAAAAATGCCTGCAATGGAGATGGAAGGTACCCCCTAGAGGCCCTGGAAGCCATGGAAACCCCACGCTTTCCCCCAAAAACTGGGCACCTCGCCTGACCACCGTGTTGGGCCACAGTTTTTTGTTTCCGCCCAGTTCCAGCCAGCCACCTCCCCGGCCTGCCAGCCCGTGCTGGAAGGTGTTGAAGGAGATGATGTCCAGCTGCAGACTTGCGCGCCGTTGCGCACCTGCAACAAAAAAAAACATACTCTCATGACCCAAAAAAAAGAACGCCTCACGCGCCGCAACACACCAACCATACTCTCATGAACCAAAATTGCCGTAGACGCGTTGTAGATCTGCTTTTGTTGTGATGAACAAGAAAGCCCTGGTTGGCTTTATGATCTAAGCCAGCAGGTTGGACGCACTGTTGAGCAATGCGAGCCTGGGAGCTCGCGGAGCCTTCGACCCTGCAACAGCCCGTCCGAGAATTGAAAAGAAATCAACAAGTCCTGCAGGGATCCTTACATTATACACCTCAACATTGCCTAGTGGTTGGTTCCCTTTATTTTGGTGTTGAAAAAACCACCACATGTTTCAAATGGGCAAAATGTATCTTTTAAGGAGCCCTGTGTCTGACCTGGTCCTAACTATTGGGAGACCCTGAGTTTGAGGCTGAGTGAGACGGTATTGGTGCTCTTTTCCGGAGGGGCAGGTCTGCAATTCAGTGGTTCAACATTCGATTTCTGAGTGTCTAGCGGATTCCTAAGCAAGGCTTTGCAGTGAAGCAACTTGCTGGCAAGGTCGCTGGATTCAACTTGACTAGAGTCCGGGCGCCCTCCCCCACCAGAATGCCCCTTGCGTTGCACACCCTTGGGTCTGGGTCTTTCCCGTCAAGGAACGGTTGACTCCCTGAGCATTGCAGGTCAACAACATAAACACCTGGTGAATCGCGGAGTTCCCGTTGCATTGTGCGACTTCTCAGCTGCCCAGTGGCTGGAAAAAAATGGCATCCTGTTTCGGTTGGTTGAACCCTTCCCGAAAAAAAGAAAATGGAATAAGAGCCGTTTGTTGGCCCCCTTCCCCCCCCTCCAAAAAAAAAGAAGAAAGAAGTGTCTTTCCTTGCGGTTTAGTCTACAATCACCCGCACACCCACACCAAAGAAAGACGCTCCTTGAGAAAAAGACACGCCCATGTAGACGGACGCCCAAGCTGGACCTTGAATTGGGCACGTGAGGTTCCTGGTCTCACGCGTGCTCGTTTCGAAGGGATTTCTCGTGCCTGGTTGTTCCAACCCAACCCAACCTCACCCAACCCACAACCTTAACCTAAACCCAACCCAATCCATAAAAGCGTCCCGAGCATGTCGATCCCCTCCCAAAGCGCTCGGCTCGGCTCCAGGCCTAGCAGCGCCAGGCCTTGCCCCCACTGGGCGCACCGGGCCAGTGCCAGCGCCGCCGTGTTGAAGGACACGACGTTGGCGATGGTGGCCTCTGGAAAAGGACGCCCGAAATTCCGAAATCACCACTGAGTTCTTCAGTGACCTTCCGCGAACCCAAGGCTCGCGGAGGCCGTGGGCGCGTCCCCCTGTTCATCGGGCTTCGTAAAAAGGGGTCAGCACCCTCTTGTCAAGCCGATTCTCAGTTGTTCAGTGACCCGGGGAACAAAGGGAACCCTGTTTGGGGAAGACCATTTTTAGTGCAGCCACCAAAAAAGAGGGGAAAAATAATTGGTGCCACTGAACAACTGAGACGAGGTCCCGAAGTGGCCAAGGGAAAAAGGGCTCTCTCTTTTTTGGTAGAGACCCACCCCCCCACCAATTGGAGTGAATTGGTTTTGCCTTTGGTAGTTTTCTCTCTCTCTCTCTCTCTCTCTCTCCCCGGTGGCCAAGGGAAAAACCGGGGGCAGTGTCCCAACAGCTGAAAGCAATTGGAGTCGTCTCAGATAGGCTCCGGTGGTGTCCGGGGCGGCTCTCTTGGGGAAAACGGGCTCTCTCTCCGTTTCCTGGCCCCAACCACACATGTCACCAGCCATCGGCCGAGTTCAGTGACTCCCGTTTATGGACCCCGCAAAAAAGCTCGCAATCCAAAATTTCTCAAAACGGAGATCTTACCTAAGCCAAAGCTGCAACTTCGGCTTACAAGCGTGTTCATTTCTTTGTTGGACCAAAATGTCCCTTTCTCTAGGCCTAGACTGGGAAGCATCCCAGCCGACTCTGCGGGGATGGTTGGGCTAGACGCACATAGTTGGATTCAGAATCATGTCAAAGGGCCTGTAGCCAAAGGAAACCAATTCATGAAATAAGGTGGTTACCCGTTGTAGCACACTCGCAATCAACCATACAGATGCATAGCGCGAGCACAATCCTTGGATGGACAATGGGGCACACAATTCTAAGTGTCCTCTTGGGTGTGATTGCCTAGACCAGACGGGAAATGCAACGTTGTTTAATAAGGTGTGAAGGTAAGGGATGCACGATGCATGGGCTCAAGACAACCTGCACTCCTCCCGAAGACCATGCTCACGAAGCAGCAAGGCAGGCCATTGATTTGGCCTGACTTGTCCTTTAGACATTAACCCGCTCCCCACACCACAGTGCCCTCTCTAAAATCAGCCCAACCTGTGGTTTTACATGAAAGGGCCACTTCTTGGATGGCCAGGAAAACCGTCAGCCAATACTTGCACCCGGACACAGCAAGACAATTCATCAAACCACAGCACCAGCTTGGTGCTGTAAGTCGCTCGTGCATCTATTTCGCATGCCATGCCTACTTTCATATCGCGGCTCCCTGTTGACGTCATTTTTCGCCTTGCTGTCATCTTGGAATGTGTCCAAACTGGAACCAAAAGCCATACCCTGCAGTCCTGCCATGGTCAAGACATGGAGGACCTGTGCGTTGAGTAAGTCCCGTCAAGCATCAAGCTAACATTGCCATTGTCCGTGCCTCTGCAAGCATCCAAAGGGCCACTTCCCACATGGCACCTTGGCGGAGTCGCGGAGGGCTCTCGACTCTCCGAGCAATCCTTACACGCCAGCCGCCAAATGACATACACGCAAACGTGTGTTTTCTAATTGCTCATATAACAATCCGATGGCATCAACTAGAGTGAGCATTGTCCGAGTTGTTTTGCGCATGGAAGCATAACCATGCTAAAGCAATCTAACTTTGACAATTGCTCAGGAAAGATCAGTGTGTTTGGGTTATAATCAGGTATCATCGTCAAGAGAGACCAACCATCCTCAAAACCAAATCACACATGATCCACCTCGTCGGGACTTACACCACACGCTTGCCAAGGACAGTCACTAGAAGTTTCAAAGCTCGCCGCGATGGAGCAACTGGCCATCCCAGCCTCAAGATTACTGCCATGGTAGCCAACCAGTGAAAACACAAGAACTGCCCTACAGCAAGCTGACACACATCTATAATATGGGTGTTTCTTTCTTTCGGGTGCCCTTGTTGAGTTGAAGGGAAACGAAGAGAACACCACCCATGGCCCTTTTGGGAAGCCAAGAGAACACCAGCGATGCTAGGGGCGTCCCTCTGTAACCTTCAGACCAACCCGTCCAACGGTCGTGGAGGCACCGGCCGCCGCCGCCCGCAGTGCGAAGTTCAGCATGTGAGCGCTGGGCTTTGTGCGCACGTTGGCCAGCGCCAGGAGGTCTGACAGGCGCTTATCGTCTTCCATTTGCTGAGAAGCCCCCTGGACAAGAATTAGAAATATGTCCAGTAGTGAAATCGATTCCCTCTAAACACCAACCGGGGAAAACAGAAATATTGTTGGATGTCATGGGAGCCCTTGTTGAGGCCTTAAGGGCTTATTTGCCCCCCCACTCCCTCCTTCCCAGCCTTCATGAGCTGGTCAGGGTGGGTGAAAATTTGGGCTCCCCCCCTCCCCCCTCCCCCCATGAGCTTACGGCCAAAGACGTCTGGGTGAGGCTCCAAAGCCAATTTTGAGCTTGGGTCAGACTTGATAAGGGCATTTGTACGGGTGTGGACTTTTCTTCGGCAAACTGGTCTCCAAACATGTCAAGCCCAGGAACTTGGGGAGTGAGTTGAGCCGTGCTGAAGTCGCGTGAAACAAAGGACGTGTCCGCAGATTTGGGCAACGGCCGTAGGTCAAACATAAGTACCCAAAATTGAACCCTGGTACATGGAAACGTGGACTAAAGCCTGCGGTCGGATTCCTGATGGTTTAATTTTGAGCCATACCCAATGTTTGGGGGGCACAAGCCCAACAAGGCGAAACCGAAAGCTATGAAGAAAACTCATGACGTGGGCAAATCGAACTTATGGCTTCGTGTTGGAGAAGCAAGGCGAGCCCACCTCAAATGCAGTTGGTGGATATGAATCCAAACGTGAGGTTCCATGTCAATTGGTGGGAGGGTAGGGGACCCATCTGGCCTTTCAAAACTTTTTAAAAATTAAGCTCAGGTGATATCCCCAACGGCACCACACCCTCCCAGAATCTTCGCGGAACCCGCCCCGGGACCCACCTCACCGCCGGTTTTGCTCAGGATGCCGCCTTGTAGCTTTATAAAGCACGGCTAAGAGTGACAGCGCAATCACGCCCTGATCGGGGCCCGACGGTGCAAGCGGGCTCCCACCAACCACCCATATTATAGCTCAACGACGGTTTTTCCCGAAAGCATCGCGAAGGGTTCTTCCGTGGGAGCTCGCGGACCAACTTGCATAGAGTCACTTGCGCAGACTCAAATACATAGAGCCAAGTGCATGGAGCCATTTGCATAGAGCCGTGCAAATAGCCGAGTGCATAGAGCTGAGTAGCTGAGTGCATAGAGCCAAGTGCATGGAGCCAAGTGCATAGAGCCAAGTGCATACAGCCAAGTGCAAAGAGCCAAGTGCATAGAGACAAGTGCATAGAGACAAGATGAGCCAAGTGCATAGAGCCAAGTGCGACCCTTTGCGGGGATCGGATATTGCGATTCTTGCGGTGCCCGCGCAACCCTCTGCGGGGATCGGCGTGGTCGAGGTGCAAAAACTCGAGGTTTTTTGCGGTGCGCGGATGAACCCTCTGCGGGGATCGTGCCTGTCGATGCGCTCTCGCTGTGGCGCCGAGCGAATTCGTCTTAAAGTCTCGGCGAATCCTCTGCGAAGATCGTGCGTGTCGAAGCGCTCTCGCTGTGGCGCCGTGCGATTTTAATGCTTTGGAAGTTGTCTTGTCAATCGCGCGGTCGCGGGTTCGATTTCCCCCTGGTCCGCGGCAGCTCCCGCTCAAGCAAAGAACCGGAAAATCGCAACCCTGAAGCGCAGACGTATAGTGCGCGGAGCACCTCCACAGCTCAGCTCAGGCTGAGCATCTTGCGCGCAGATACAAGCGCCGAGCGTCTTGCGGAGAGAAACTTGCACAACGTGCACAGAACAGCTTGAAGTGCAGCAGCTTGCAGAGAGCAACTTGCGCGCAGCAGCCTGGAACAATGCAGCTTGCGCAGACACTGCCATTTTTCCTCTCGTAGGACGATGAGATGGAGCTCTCATGTGACCATACGCATTGAGCATCGCCGCGTGCAGACACGCTCGCCGCATCGATGTAAAAAGAGTGCTTGGGGAAAAATGCTTTCGGGCCAATCGTCTTCTAGTCTTAGGATGCTGCCTTAATCCACCAAAACTATTCGATGCGACTCGATCGGGGCCCGACGGCGCAATCGGGGCCCGACGGTGCAATCGGGGCCCGGTGAACCTCGCAAACCGTCCTCGTAAAACTCAGCGTGAAACTTTGTTGGAACGTTTAATCAGGGCTGCCCCATAGCTTTTGCAGAGCGTTTTTGAAACCTACCCCATAGCCCTCGCAGCCTCGTGGAGCCCCTGGAGCCCAAAGCCCACCAAGTAATACTCAGTAATGTCAAGCATGTACCCTGAAGTACAGTGAGACTTGTTATAAAGCCAACATTTCGGGCCACGTCGTCGGAGCAAGTGAAAACAGTGAAAGTGTGCTGAACACATTGAATTTGGTTTTGCTTAGTGTTCCGCCCGTGAGCAAAGCGATCTTCTGAGCCCTTCAATGGCTTTTCAGACGGCGGGCGCGCGACGCTTTGTTTGTGGAACCCTGCTAAAACCATCCTTGTGGAACTGTGTAAAAATCTGTGGAACCTCCCTGGTGGAACCCTGGTGGAACCCTTGTGGAACCTTACCTCAATCCATGCCGGGCCACCCCGCAGCCCTCGCAGAACCTGGTGAAACCCTGGTGGACCCTTGTGGAACCCTTGTGGAACCTTACCTCATGGCCGCCCCGGACCACCCCGGAGCCTATCTGGGCTGAGACCCCAAAGCTTTCAGCTGTTGGGGGGTGAAAAAAGAACCTGGTGCTCAGTGGGGAATGAGGGAATGACCCTTATAAACCATCCAACGGGCGGTTTCCTTTAAGAGAATTATCCCTGGGTTCATTCCCTCCTATCGCACCAGCAAGAACAGCCTGATACCATCGGCCCGCTTTTCTCTCGCCTGCTGCGGCTTGCCAGGCGGTATCTTCGCTGCAGGCTTTCAACACCGGCGCCCACTGTGAAGCGCGCCATTCCCCGCTGGCCTGGGCTAGTTAGAGTGAAAGCGGAAATTCTTTGAGAGCGGAAGCACTTCCGCTGGCGTCACTGGCTTGGCGAGACTTGCATCTCGTGCGGACGAAGCTGTGAAGACAACCCCGTGAAAGGGTGTAGCGCAGCCGTTTTCTTGGCCATGAGTCTAGAAACCGTCTTTGAGAGGTTCGGTTCGCATTTTGAAACTTACGTGCTCCAGGTATTTAAGCAAGTCAACAATGACAATACTGTAACATGCTTGGTGTTCTTCGCCTTTTTTCTCCTCAGGGCAAAGCAAGCCCCAGTTACCCAGTGACCCGGGTGGGAAAAGGTCACACACCTCGTTGGGCCCATTGTTGGTGGGCCCCAAAGCCTCCAAACCAAAAGCGACTTCGAGGATGGCACTTTCACCAACTGCGAACAGCACCGGCAAACTGCTGGAACCACTTCCATCTGGCTTGAGGACTTGAGTTTGAACCAGGATATGTCAAGAAAACCAACCGAACATATCTCCAATTCAACAAAAAACAACAGGGGAAAATCACAAACATATTCATTTCAGCAAATGGAAACCCCCTCTCCGCCTGCAGCAGATGTGCCGCGTGCTGCCAGCCCCTCCGCAGCGCCTCCGCGCTCTGCCGCAGCCGCCGCCGCTCCGCCGCGTCGAAGGTCGCTGCCATGCGACATGGCGACAGCGAGGCGGAGCCCCGGGAATGGGCGGTTTTACTTTGCGAAGACCTGTGAACTTGGACGGGAGTCAACGGGATTCTTTGGGAACGAACCACTTTGGCTAGGTTTTTCAGAGAGAAAAGGAATAAGGGTACCGCTACTTGTTTCTGTAATCTGTTTCAGTAGGGGAACCCTCCCCCGAAAAAGGGGAGAGAAGGGCACTACCGGGGGACCAAGTTTGGCTTCCCTTTGAAACCGCAAGAAAAATATTACCCTCACAAAATTGACACCCCCACAAAGTGGCAAACAGAAAACATAGTTTCCTTTGTGAGACCATGAGTCAGCAAAAGGCTTTGCCCCGGAATTCCAGGGGGTGGGCACCGCGAAACTCCGAACTTCGGAGATTGAGACCAGCAGCAACATCGGAGTCCCATGACGGTTCTATCACAGGAATCACTCAGACGGCTGCCTTATCGCAGAACATGGCAATGAGCGCAACCCCGGGGTTTGTCGCAAAGGCCAACCTCCAAATTGTTCCCCCTGACCCTCAAACAGCAAACAATTTCTTGGCGAGTTTGTTTTTCAGGCGTTTTCTCGATTTCTTTGCCGAACTAGGCGTTTCCGATAGAAATGCGTCGCCTTTGGTGGAAACCATGCGGTTGGTCGCGGAGCTTTCGCCAAACGTATACACGCAGTCAACCAAGCTTTCCTGGTGTGCGTGATTGTGATAAACGGGTCCCTGTGCCCTGGTCCCACCTCGAGGCGCTACGCACACACACACACACACACAGGCACCACAGAGAAACAGTGCCAGCACTCACTGGGTCTTTGCCCCAGTCGCGTTGCGCACAAGCGCTTGCAAGCTGTGCGCAGGCTCGAAATGGCTGCCCTGGGCCCCCCCTCCCCTCCCGCGGCCAAGAATTTCCCCCAACTCCTTTTATCTCCGTGTTTCCAAAACAACAGAAACTACAAGTTGGGGATTTGCGGGTGTTTGCGGGTTTTGCCGGCGTTTTGCCGGCGTTTTGCGGGTCTTCTTGGCGAGCAAAATTTGGAAAATCACCGGGCCACCCCGAGAAGCTTCCAAACTTAGAGCCCAAACTGGGCAATCAAGAATGAAGGCTGGTGTCGGCTGAAGCAGAATAACTAAGCCAGAACGACAACACCAAATCGGAGCCATTGCTGGTAAAAGGATGTGAAAGGCTTCGTGAGCTGGGGCAGTATCACTTGGCATCACAGTGATTCATGACATATCTTCAAGCTGCCTTGAAATCCCAACGGTGGCCGCACCAGTGCTACATGTGTCTCAAAATTGCATTGCCCACTTGTGCGGCCCAATCCCGCTGCTTTCTGTCATTTCTTGTCGTTTTAGTCGTTTTAAGCGGTTTCCAGACTTTTATGTAGTTTATAGTCAAAGGGGAAAACTACAAAAAATGTTTGTCGTTTGAGGCTCCAGGCCCCTTTAAACCGACCACAATGGTATCTTCAGAGGAAAAGCCACACTTCTCGGAGTGCGTTAAATGAATTTCCTGGTGTGTGCTGTGTGTTTGCCAGCGCAAACACCTGGAAAGCCAAAATTGGACAGGCTTGCAACTTGGAGAACTGACAACAAAACGGCCGCTGTGAAGGTGTGGTAGCGATTCCATTTGCCTAGCAACTGAAATATCTATAAATGAGCGAAGCCTGAAAGACGACAGTTGAACTTGGATACAGAAACAGCTTGGAACCATAAATATGTTGGCTCAAATGATAAGGCAACCTAAGGAAACAAAAGAGGACAACATACTAACCCAAGACCGAGGGTTGAGCCAAAAAAAGAGTCTCGCAACAAAACAAAGCACACATCATGGTAATGGCAACAGTCATTGCCGCCAAAGCCACATCTCAATGCCAAACATTGCTTGGGACAAATCATATGAATTGTCCTCGTATGTCTGGAATCTCGTTTTTGCAACAGTGAGCCTCTGAGGCAACCCGCAAAGGCTCACACGAAGCCAGACTCATCATCCATAGCGAAGGCAACAAACCTGATCCTTGCATTGCTTCAGTCCAAAGCAATTGATACCCAGGCAAGATGAGCAGCCTTTCACAAATGAGTCTGACAGAACCAGCGTTGATCCTAACTGGCCACGGGTCGAAGAATCGGTGTTGCCATGCCTAAATCACAATCACTCTCTGCTCGGACGCCCAGTTTTCTGTGGGAGAAGCGACACTTGTCACCACGCGAGCACCCGCGCTCAGAAAAGAAGTGCCGACAAAGAGTTGGCCTTGACACAAATGATCAACGCCCACATTGCATCCCGACAGCAACTTTCACAGCTGCCTGAATGATGGATAGCAGTAAAGTTTGAGTTCACTGTTTCCTTGTGAGCTGCTTTCAGTTGGGCGACCCTCAATCGACTAAATTTTAGCAATAGACTGTAAGGTAAGAAACAACTACTTGATTTTTGTAGCGCAAGCTTGAGCCTGCTAGAACCTGCTTAGGGTTGCTTTCGAATCTTTGCATGAGCACTCATCTGAACCTGCCTATCTGCGCTTTCTGGAGATGGCTCGTGCTCCGCATCACCAGCTCCCTCTTCAGCTCGCACATATTGGTGCCTGTCGCGCACAAGAACCAGCTCCAAGGCACGCGGGCCGAGGGGGTCGCGGCTGATTGCTCAAGCTCCAAAGGATCCCTGCCAGGTAACCTCACGTCAGGTCAGGTGGCACAACCCACTGAATCGAAGCATCTCCAAAGATGTGCAAAGAGTCCCACATTGGGCTGCCAACAGTCACCGACCTTCCCTCGCTCCCCAAGTTGCCCAAGAGCACTGCACCAGCATCCCCTGCGGGTTGCAGGGAAATCAAACCAACGCACCAAAGGAACAAAGAGTAGAATCCACTGGGCAAGGCGCTTTGCGTCGGGGGGGGGCTTAAAGCCAAGTCCGAAATCTTTGCCAAAACCTGGGCAACTGCCGTACAAACCCAAACCGAGCGCCGAAGCCGCGCCTGCGCTTCTTGGTCTGCGCTCTCTCCCGCGCCTCCCGCGCCCTTTGGGCGCGCAAGCGCTGCTTCGGGTTCAGCTCCTCGCGACCAAAAACCCATGGCCATAGCTTGAGATGGACGAAATCCTGTCAGGCACCACCTAAAGAAACCTAAAAATGATTCTTCCCCTGTAAATATCAACAAACAATGGTTTGTCATGGTTTCCTAGGTGGTGCAGGATTTTGTCCATCCACAGTAGCTTGAGATGCACATGTGCCTTTGGTTGGCAAACTTAACGCATGTCAAGCAGCTGGTAACACAAACAACCTGCCGCAAGTGAAGCATGAGAGCTGGGATCGGAGTTTCAGGACCAATAGATGACAGTCTATTTCGACTGGTCATGCAAGTCGACTTTTTGCCGATTTGCTCTATTTCAACCATGCACACGT